CTTGGCACGAAAACAGATTATGCATTTGGCAACAATACTGGAGACTGTTTTTCGACCGCCAATGGGCCAGTACTGGAGCCGAATCGAAGACAATAAAGCGCGAGGTCCAGCGTGTAAGTTTCGTTTATGAAAGTAAACTATGATTGCTCGCGTCACAGGATGCTGACGGGGCAATATAATCGGATGTCGCGCTGAGAAGTCCAACGACGAGTTTTTCAGCCGTCCACCGATGCGAAGTAGGCCGAAGTCGTCAAGGAATGGTGCAAGAGAGGCCATTGAGCTAGACGGTTTGACATGCCTTCCTTCCTTCAATGCCTTGTAGTCATCGCTGAGAGTAGCCATTTGCACTGACCGCAGCAACCAATGTGTGCCATGATGCAAGTGGTCAACGGTTAGTTCAGCTCCTCGGATTCGATTTACAAATTTGTAAACATAAGCAAAGACCCGCTGCAGCTTGGAAAACGAATTGATGAACTTGCAACCAATCGAGAGATCCGGTTGCGCTGCAGTTCCGAGGAGTACCTTGTGTCGAAGTTCTGGTAAGGATTCGACAGGTACACAGGAGGCAGGCCACTCTTCCTTTCCCTTACTGAGAAAACTCGGACCATGGGCCCATAATGGAGACCGGAAGAGCTCACTAGGCAGCGCTCCTCGTGAAATTATATCCGCCGGGTTTAATTCGGTGGGAATATGATGCCATTCCATTCCAGTGGTGAGCTCTTGGATGGCTGCGACTCGGTTGGCAACGAAAACATTGAATTTCGAAGCATCATTGCGAATCCAAGCCAAAGTCACGGCAGAGTCTGACCAACAGTAATACCGACAGTCGAACACTTTCATTTGGCATATTTCGCTGAGAAGTTGAGCCAGTAATGCAGCTCCGCAGAGTTCCAGCTTTGGTACCGTGATGGTTTTCACAGGCGCGACACGCGATTTGGAGCATAAGAGACGCACGCTGGTGTTGCCATTGCACTTTGAGACTGTATAGACGCATGCTCCATAAGCGCTTAGGCTGGCATCACAAAATCCGTGAATCTCCACTGTACTGTCTGATGAGAGTGCTCGACGGGGATACTGGAATTGCTGAGTATACTCAAAATCAGCGCAGAAGTTGACCCAGGCTGTGCTTAAGTGTACGGGCAGGCTCTCATCCCAGTCCAGCTTTTCTCTCCAGAGATCCTGCATAAAAATTTTCGATTTTGTTATTACGGGACCAACAAGACCAAGGGGGTCGTAAAAGCGAGCAATTGCGGAGAGTATTGACCGTTTTGTCAGTCTGGAGGGCAACCTCAGTGGAGAGAAGGAGAAAAGGAAACAGTCTGAAGCGGGATCCCAAACGAGGCCTAACGTTTTCGTGATGTCACTGCCATCGTCAAACTTAAGCAGCGTTTCTCTATCCTCTTCCGGTATGTTTTGGAGTACAGATGTGTCGCTAGAACACCATTTGCGCAGCCTAAAGTTCCCCTTGGCGAGTAGTCCAGATGTTTGTTTCAATATCTCAATTGCTTCTTGAACACAGCTACCACCAGAAATGAGGTCATCCACGTAGAAATCTCTTTTAACAATGTCAGAGCCAATAGGGAAAGTTTTCTGCTCATCCATGGCCAGTTGGTGCATAGCTCGCACTGAGAGAAACGATGCTGGTTTTGTGCCGTAGGTGACGGTGTCTAATTTGTAAATCTGTATCTTCTGATGCTGAGACTCACGCCACAAGATACATTGAAAATAACTGTCTGCGGGTTCGACTCGTACGCATCGATACATTTTGCATATATCGCCTGTCAGGGCGACTGCAAATGTACGAAACCGCATCAGTATCGAAAACAGCTTCGGTTGGATGGTAGGACCTGCCATCAGTGCATCATTCAGCGAGTGTCCAGAGGTAGTAACTGCTGAGCCATCAAACACGACCCTTAGCTTGGTTGTAGTGCTATCCTCCTTCAGCACGCAGTGATGTGGCAGGTAGTACTTGCATTGGCCCAGTGCAGCTGAGGTAACAAGTGACATGTGACCCAAGTCAAGATACTCCTTGATAAATGCTGCATACTGGGGTTTCAATAGTGGATTACGGTCTAGTTTTCTTTCTAAGTTCAGGAATCGACGAACCGCCTGTTGATAGGAGTCACCCAGCGGATACATGCCTAGACGTAGCGGTAAACGAACTGAATAGTCGCCAGTCGACAGACGTTTAAAATTGGCCTGAAAGTGTGCCTCACAGTCGCGTTCCTCCTTGTTTGGTAAGGACTCAGGGTCGGTGCAGCATTCCAATTCCCAAAAACGACGGATTAATTCATCAATCTGTGTATTAGGCTGCAGATGCGAGTCAACCAGCAGATCTGGATTCTCCATTGATCTCATGGCCATGAATGATGATTTTCCAGCATGTGAGGCACCTCCCGTAGCCACCCAACCAAGGCGAGTCTTTTGCAATATCGGCAGTCCAGCAGCTAGTTTAATCTGGCCGACGCATAGCAGATCGAAGAACAGACTGGCTCCAATCAACATGTCGATTTGCTGAGATTTAAAGAATTCAGGATCAGCTAGTTGTATATTTGATGGAATGTTCCATGATGCAGGGTCAAGAGTGAAGCCAGGCTGATTATCGGTGATGGATGGTGCAATCAAGGCCGGGATGCATGTGGAGTACTCCGACACTCGAGATTTGACATTGATGTTGACCGAAAACCCATCGGACGCAAATGCTGCATCACCAATGCCAGAGACGATTGCTGTTGACTTGAATTTGCGCAGCTGGAGCTGATGAGCAAGACGAGAGGTGATGATGTGCAACTGCGACCCAGAGTCGAGCAACGCACGGCAAGGCACCAAGGAGCCAGCGCGATTTTTCACGTTGATGACGGCAGTGGCAAGCAGGACCACATCGTGCTTGAGATGCTGGGCGGTAGTGAGAGGCGAAGATAAAAGTGCCGCCAAGGTGTTTTGGGATGACGAATAAGTTTCGGTATCTTGAGCATTGTTTGGGCTAGAAGCAGCGATGTGACTGCTTGTGTTGCCAAGATGCAACAAGCTATGATGTTTGCTTCCACAAACTCTGCAAGCGCTGGAGCCGCAGACTCTCAGCTGATGTCCCCTTTGCAGGCAGTTTAGGCACAGCGCAAGCCGCTTGGCTTCGTGAAGGCGCAGCAAGGGCGATAAATTTGCGAATTGCAAACATTTATAAATAGAGTGGCCTGCGACTTCACAAAACACACAAGCACTCGTTCCATTCCTAGTCACTACAAACGTTCTTCTACTACTGTTGTTCTGGCCCACCTGGGAGCTAGGCGTGTACATTGCCGTAGCGTGATCCGCATTTTCCAGCCTTTGGCAACGCCTCTCTATGAAGGTTGTAAACCGCTCGCATGATGGTATGACGTCCAACGGCGCATCATCCTCCCAGCTAGCCTGCGTAACGCTATCTAGTTTTTGCAGCAACGTATGTACTATGACGCAACCGGCGATCTGTTCCACACTGCCCATCGATTTTAAAGCACGTAGATGAGAGTTGAGCTTATCTGAAAATTCGCGCAGCTGTGCAGTCGCGCCCTTGTCCACCTTTCTCAAACCCAAAATTTCAGAGATGTGTGCCTGAAAAATAAGACGCTTGTTATTAAAACGCTTATCAAGCAGTTCTAAAGCGGCAGCATAATTTGCGTTTGAAATTTCCAATGAGCGAATTGTATCCAGCGCTGTTCCTTTAAGGCATGACCGTAGATGCTGGAGTTTTTCAATGTTGGTCAAATACGGATCCTTGTCAATGACCGTGGTGAACAGGTTCGAGAAATCGGCCCATTCTGTGTAGCCTCCACTAAACTCCGGCAATTTAAGTTGAGGCAATCGAGAGTGGTTTGGAACAACAAAGGTAGAACGCGAGTCATCGGCTGCGGCTGAATTGAAGGTGGAACAATGCGGAATCTGCTGAACCTTGCTTCGATTTCCGCGCTCGCGTTGAAGGGACAGCCGTAGCTGCCTAATAGTTGACTCAAAACTTGTCTGAAGATCCTCATCAACGCTGGCATGATCCACCTCCAACAAACCATCACAGACTATCTCAAATTTCGCCTGCAAGTCAGATGCCATGCTTATGTAATCTTGCAGCTCGTAGTCATCAACATCGCGAAGTCGAGCGGGATCAAGTTCCGAGGACAATCTATTGAGTCGATCAGTTAAATTCTTGATCTTTATTTTAAAAACAGCAGCCTGGGTTCCAACCGCCACTTGACTAGCTGATGTCGCCTCATCATTTCCATTTGCACTTGCACCTTCATCAAACATTATGAATGTAGCGCACAACAAGGTTCACACAGCCGAACTACAATACAAGTCTGATCGCGCAAGTGTTCGTTCGAGCGAGATAGCGTATAGCGGGTTATAGCGCGCAACGATTAGCGGGGATTTGCTACGGCGTTTATGTATAACAACCAACTGTATGCAGATGCGCAAGCAAACGGCTCACCACACAGCTTTGCCCGAACTGATAACTGTCCGTTGACACGACAAGAACGAAGTACAAGAAAAAATAGAAAAAATGAAAGAAAGAAAAAATCACGTCGGGGTCACCAAAATGTGTAGTTGCAAGCTTTTTTGCAACCAATTAATTCTAACTGCTTGTGCAGCGAAATTCAAACACTTAGATTAGTTTTCAAATGGATTTATTTGCCGCGCAGGGCACTTATTAGAAATTATAAGTTTTAAATTGTTGCTTGGCAGCCAACTCGAATTAGTTGTGCCTAGGTTGCGATCAAAACGAAAGACTGACTGGTTATGACAATATGTAAAGCGAATCGAAACGAAACTCCAATAAGACGCTCGCCGGTTAGAGCGAAGGGCAGCAATGCAAGCAAAGCAATTCAGAAGGAGAGTGGACAGCAGCTTACAAAGAGCGCGCAAAAAAACTATTTGCTCTTAGGCTGTAATTATGATTGTTATTTTCTGCTGTTGGATGATGTCCGCAGCCGTCGGTGTTATCTCTGCTGTTACTTGACCAAACAATATATATATTTTTTTTTTTTCTAACTAAACACTTACAATAGGCAGAAATTAAGAATGCCGCCAGCAGATCAAAGATTTCCTACTAACTGGGCGGCAAAATACCCAAAGCTCGTAAACACAACTTGGCCGCATTCAGTTTGGCTTCCTTTTTGCTGTTGCAGCCCTGGGCGGGCGTATATGTCTGTCCATTTATCTCCACGGAGAAGCGAAACATGCGGCTGTGCGAGGGACCTGAATCGTCCCTTAGCGTATATTGCGGTGGCGTCCATTTGTTTTTCGATGTCAGTTCGTTGAGCACACAAACCGGATGCTTGTCGTGGGCGGTGAGCGCAGCCTGTGCGATATTTGTAGCACTTGTGTTTTTGGGTGCACGTGGGGCCTGGGCGCGAGCCGGTGGCTGTTTAAGATCTTCGCGGGAGATTAGGCCACGCTTGTCCAGCTTAACCGTCAACTGCAGTGGCTGCAGTGAGCCGGTCTTGCTGCGTCCCAAGCCCTCGCCCGGCTTCCAGCCCATTTTCTGCAATAGAGCCATGCCCATGCCGCCCGTAACGGGCTTGTTTGAAGTAAGCTGATCTCGGCGCGCCCACAGCTGCGGCCCGCTATTCAGCTCATGTACCTTCATCACCTGAGCACCAGTGCTGCCCGTAAACTGGCCGGGCAAAAATTTTGAAGACGCCCACGAAGACATGTCCCGCTGCGCATTGAACATCATTTTCAGAGCCTCAGAATCGGCAGGATTATCCTGTTGAACGTTTAACATATTAGTAGTAAGATCTTTTTATTGGATTTAAGTTACCAGCTGCTTACCTGCAGGCGTCGTATGGCACTCAAACGCTGTGTAATAATGCTGGACACATCCATGCTTGGCGCCGTGGCCTGCGGAAATATGGAAGTACTCGGCGCGGCTAGTGCTGTGGATGGTATGGGTACTTCGGGCACAAAAGGTGTTGGCGCTCTGAGAGCCGGCGGCGGCTTCTGGACAACTGCCGGCGGAACAGGAGCAGATGCTGGAGCAGGCACGGGCTGCGGCACGGCCAATGTCAGCATTGCGCTGCTCTGTAGGCTATTGGTCTCGACTGCGCCGGCGACGACATCCGGCTGATTAGTTGCAGACTTGAAGGCGGGCTCCTGCTGCTCCTGATGCGGTATAGTCTTGGCAAAGACATTGCGCTGCACATCTTTGAAAATGTTAGTGGCCTGTTTGGCCGGCGGCAGGGTAGGCAGCGGTGCCAGTGAGTCCTTTGGCTCTACAGGCACCCACACCTCGGACATGCGATGCACCTGACCGGAGGAGACTGGAAATTGCATGGTAATAGCCTTGGTCTGCTCATCGCGACGCGTGGACGGCACTATTGGAGTGGAGTTGCGTATATGCATGACAATGGGCTCGCGCTCCTTTAGCTGAAACGGATGATGAAAGGCCTTGGCATTGCCGTTCTTATCCACATCCGAATCTTCGTCGGAACTAAAATCGGACAACATTTCGCCGTTGGAGATCTTCTTGCAGAAATCTGTTAGATCCTGCACGGTGCGTCCACCGTAGCGCATCTTGAGCAGCACCTTATCCTTTACCTCTGGCGTCATCTCGGCCACTCCGGCCATGTTGCCACGCTTAAACATGCTGATTGCATTGCGACGAGCGATCTCCAGCAAACGCTTTTTATCTATTCCCAAATCTCGGGAACGAGAACGGGAACGCGTTCGCTGCCTGCCGCTCTGGTGACGAGTATTGACACTGTGGCGCTTATTATCGCTGGGTTCCAGCTTGGCGGCGCCGTAGAAACTACGTCGTTCGTTTGCCTTCTCCCGCAGATATGTCTCCTCATCGGACAACGACAATTCGTCGGACTCACGCCGTTCCATCTTTATCTTTGAGGACCTGTTGTTGTTGTTGTTGTTCGCCTTGGAACGCGCATGTTTGTCCTCGTGGTAACCGTTATAGAAGCTATTGTGACCACGTTCACGCTCACGTTCGCGATCTCGCTCCCTCTCCCGATCACGCTCCCGCTCACGTGCTCGTTCCCTCTCCCGTTCGTCACTTTGTTCGTGCTCTACTACTGTTTCCTTCTTGGCCGGCACAGGCGCCTTTTCCTCATCCACTGGCGCGTGTCTTTTGCGATTTTCCGTCCGTTCCTCCGCCTTGACTGTAACCGAGCTCGTCCTTTCCTTAGACTTTTCGCGATCTTTATCCTTGAGCTTGTCTTTGCTGTCCTTATGTTTGTGCTTGTGCTTCTTCCGCTTGTGCTTGTGCTTAGACTTTTCCTCAGCGGGCGCCACATCTGTATCGCTACATTCCCCATCGGATCTGGTCGGCTTGCTGCGCGACTTTTTCTTCTTCTCTTTTTTTGATTTCTTGTGTTTCTTCAACAGATTTTTGTCGTCCAGCAGCTCCACGGGCGGTGCCGCATTGAACACGCTAAATAGCTCGGCGAGTATTTCATTGGAGGATTTCACTGGCGCTATTTGCTTTTTATCGTCTTGCGATGAGTCGTTGCTGTTGCTCGCGTCGCTGTCGGTGCCCGATGCCGTTGGGGGCGTGGTACTTTCAGTTTTGACATTCGCATTTATTGCGACAAGTTTCGCCTCGATCTCTGCATCAATCTTCTCACGTTTCACCATGACGGACAGTGGTACATCTCCTGCGGGCGTTGATTGTTGTGGCTGCTGCTCCAGCGTGCTGGCGCTCTCCGTATTTTCAGTCATTATCGCATCGGCGTCATCTGATAGCGTTTAAGAAATTGCATGCACATCGAACAACATGCAGCGAATATAATTAATATGTGCATATATACAGAAATGGTTTAGTTTTTGCACGCCTAAATCATATCAATCGATAGATTTGATGGCCAAAATATTACAAAAAATATATTGCACATACCTAATAGTGATGTTACAATAACGATACATTTTTTTGCAGCTATGTAGCTGTAAGTTGACAGCCCTGTCAATTTGAAGCGCAGCCAACTTTAGTCACGTCGCTGTCACGAATTGCAATTTTTATATCAAAAAAAAAAGAAAAGGTTTAATCACTATATCATAGGCCTGTACGGTGTCAGTCCAGCGATAATTACGGAGAACACAAGTTGAAAATGTAAGTGAATATTTCGACAACTCTATTTTACAATGGTGATTCGTACACCTGGCTGTAAATTGGCAACGTTTTTAAACGCCATTTCTTTTTATTTCTTTTTCCTCTTCGCCTGGTGGCTTTGCCCTCCTCCTCTTTCTTCTCTTTTGCCACTGTCATTGTCATCGTGCTGCCCGTGCTGCTCTGCCATGCAACTGTGTTGGTTCTCTCGATGTCGATTTTGTCGGAACGAACGAACGGACGTCTGTCTACGCTACTCTCTGCCATGCCCGTGCTCTGGCCTTATGATTGTGTCGGTATTTGTCTGTGTGTATGTGCGTTTCTATGTGGTTAAATTTTCGTTGCGCGTGTAATTGAAATAACTGAAGCAGAAGTGGACAACGAATAAAATATAAAAGCCACGAACTTATTTAGAAAATTAACAGGAAAGGCATTTCGATTTAGATTGCAAGTTGTTGGAAGTCGCATATATACACATATACACACATAAACAGTGAAAATGACATCGCTGGATCAAAATCGCTTGCAAAACTTTAAAAACAAAGGAAAGGATCAAGATGTATGTTGCGCTTCTCTATTGGTTTGCATTAATTAATTACAATTAATTAATTACTAATTAACAGGAGATGCGTCGTCGCCGCAATGAAGTTACCGTGGAATTGCGCAAAAATAAGCGCGACGAAACGATTCTGAAGCGTCGCAATGTGCCCAACCTGGACTCCAACACAGATGAGGATGAGCAATTGCCCAACTCGATAAATCTCAAGAAACTTGCTCAGGCCGCCGCTGATCCATCGAAACCGGATCAACAGTTGGCCGCCGTTCAAGCGGCACGCAAATTGCTATCATCGGACAAAAATCCACCCATCAATGATCTGATCAACAGCGATATATTGCCCATTCTGGTTGAATGCCTGAAGCAACATAATCACACAATGCTCCAGTTTGAGGCCGCATGGGCATTGACCAACATTGCATCAGGGACTTCCGATCAAACCAATCAGGTGAGTTGTCGATAACCTTCAACGTAATATTACAGAATTTAGCAGATTGTGCGTAATTTAGGTATATTTTATATACAATATAAAATACATAAATTTATTGGTTTCGTTTGTACCTAAAAAAGCCATACATGATAAAGTAGATGTTGGCTCATACCTAGATGATCTTTGAATTATCAAGCTTGATTTACATCACAAGAAAGATATTTCCTATACAAATTTCATTAATTTAGCTTGGCAAATAAATCTGCCCTGAATACTATTCTATAATATCTGTATATACGGTATAAACAAATAGAGAGGGCATCGAATATTTCACAGGTTCTGTGCTTAAGAAATACAAACATTTGTATTTACATTTACATATATACTGATACATTTATATATGTAATACATATTGCTGATATAGCTATTAGAAAACAAAATGAATTATCAGATTTGTCAGCAGTTGAAAACCCGCATCTATAATATTTGTCAATATATATGTTTTTTTGCAGGTGGTTGCTGCAGGTGCTGTGCCGCTCTTCCTTCAATTACTGAACTCACCCGCTCCGAATGTCTGCGAACAAGCCGTATGGGCGCTGGGCAATATCATTGGCGATGGACCCTTGTTGCGTGATTTCGTTATTAAGCTTGGCGTTGTGCAGCCGCTGCTGTCGTTCATTAAGCCCGATATACCCATATCTTTCTTACGTAATGTCACCTGGGTGATTGTGAATTTGTGCAGAAACAAGGATCCGCCGCCACCAGCTGCCACAATACATGAAATCCTGCCTGCACTCAATGTGCTGATCCATCACACTGACACAAACATCTTGGTCGATACGGTTTGGGCCATCAGTTATTTGACCGATGGCGGCAACGAACAAATCCAAATGGTTATCGATAGCGGTGTGGTCCCCAAGCTGATACCGCTGCTGGGCAACAGCGAGGTTAAGGTACAGACGGCAGCATTGCGTGCTGTGGGCAACATTGTTACCGGATCGGATGAGCAGACACAAGTGGTACTCAATTACGATGCACTATCGTATTTCCCAGCGCTGCTGTCGCATCCGAAGGAAAAGATACGCAAGGAAGCTGTCTGGTTTCTATCGAACATCACCGCCGGCAACGAATCCCAGGTGCAGGCTGTCATCAATGTTGGCCTGCTGCCGAAAATCATTGACAACCTAAGCAAGGGCGAATTCCAGACACAGAAAGAGGCAGCTTGGGCCATAAGTAATCTAACCATTAGCGGCAGACCCGAGCAAGTGTTTACATTAATCAAGGAGGGTGTTATACCGCCATTCTGCGATCTGCTCTCGTGCCAGGACACACAAGTGATCAATGTAAGCTGAAATCATAAATAATACAACTGGCATCTAATATTCACTAATGTTGATTTTTGCAGGTTGTGCTGGATGGTCTCAACAATATGCTCAAAGTGGCTGCATCACATGTGGAGGAGGTTGCCAATTTGATTGAGGAATGCGAAGGACTCGCCAAAATTGAACGTCTGCAAAACCATGAGAATATTGAGATCTACAAGCTGGCATACGAAATTATTGAGAAATACTTTACAGAGGTAGGACATTTAACTTGTAGCTGCTTCAGCAAAATATTAACCCCCTCCCCACTTGGCATTTGCAGGGCGAACAATCTAACCTGGCACCGACTTCTGATGGCACAGAATACAACTTTGATCCGAATACAGACAAACTACCAATGAACTCGTTCAACTTTTAATACCAATGGCTGAGACCAGTACCGTATGCACACACAAAAAACAAACACACACACACACTTCTGATTTGGTGTATACTCGATTGAAAGCATAAAGCAATACGATTTCGAGCGATACTCTGCCCATTTACCAACAAAAAAACAACAGCCACACTGACAGCGAAAAAAAAGGATAATTATTATGCACATTCTATATGACAGCTTGGTTATATTATACAATAACAATTATACATACACACACAAACACACGAACTAAAATCGTTGCAGCAAAACAGTTTTTTTTTTTAAATAATTTGTGTTTTCAAACATACATAACTCTATGTATGTCAACATATAACAAAATAAGAACGAAAAAAATTATGATTTGTTAAACTTTGTCTGATGCATGTTGCAATAGCGAAATCCTTTTTTAGATTATTTATGTTTTCATTCAATTGAATAAGTTTAAAAATCATATGTCATTCAATATTTAGTATATACTTCTTCAAACGGGCTGTAAAGGCGCAAACGAAATATTGCAACTGCAACAAATGTGCTAAAAAATAAAGCAAAAATAACAATAACAAACAAAAAATTACACAGGAATGATAAAATTTGTAGAACTATTTGATTTGTAATGAATAATTTTAATGACATGTACGCCTTTGATTTGTAATTGAAATTACATATACATTTCTAACATGAAAAACGATAAAAAAAAAGCGGACATATTCTCCAGTTTTATTTACATTTACAGGAAAATTCTAAACATTCACCTGATGTGTGCAGTCTAAAAAGAAAATAAGAAAACACTTGTGTTTATTTGTCTGCGGCTTTAAGGTGGGGCAAACAGCTAATCAAGTTACAGAAGGTGTACATACATACACGTGTATATACGCACAGGCATAAATATATGTACGTACGGTATATGTTGATGCGCAATAGGCGCTCCAAAATGTATATATAATTCATCAATTTTGCCACACTGTGCTGAGAGTTGATTGTTTGCTTTGTATATGTAAATCACACGATGTGTATACATATTCCAATTTGATAGAGGCTGTGCAACACATACACACATAGCATTAGGGTGAGCCTTACCGACACGATAAGTGTTGGGTAGTTAATCCATTAACCAGCTTAGACCAAACAATTATCGATGGGTACACAAAAATGTTCTAAAACACTCAGATAATATCGATTGATCTTGAAGTTATGTACTATTCGATAGTTTTTAGTTCAAGTTTTTTTCATTTTTCATCAATTTGCGAAAGCTTTCCGTAGCTTCATTTAAAATCATTTGTGAGTCACAAAACGCTAATGTATGTCATCTTTAAATATTAACGCTTAAAACACATTAAATTTATAGAAAATTCTTTAAAGATTTTTGAAAACATTCAATATTAAATTGGTAGACTTTTCAGACGATTCACGACTTCTAAAGCTCATAGTCTCTAAGTTGGTATAAACTAAAGTGTTTTTTAAGTGTCTTGACCTTTTCGTCATGCAAGGGTTTAAGTCCAATTTGAGCTGGGTTTTAAATTTGCTGTCTACAAATTGATTTGATTTGCTTCTGGAATTGTTGTGGACTTTTATTTATTGTAGTTTTTCAAATGGATCAAATAAAACATTATATAGGTTATTTTTTAGTCGCTTCTAAAAGTATCACGTGCAATGAAAAAAGCTTTATGTAGCTTTGAATTTGTTGGCGCATTTACAAAGAAGTGGTTTATTAACATGATTTTAAAACGCGCTACATATACATACAGATATGTGCTTGGCGAGCAAGTACACACATGCATACATACATATGTATAAGATTGTCGCGTGATGCAGTCAGAGCAAAAAGCGACACAACCTGCATTTGAATGTCTATTTTTAGAATTGTATAAATGTATTTGTGAATGCATTTAAGTGCGTATTTAGCTGCTTCCGTCAACGATGCTCTGCGGAAATTGGCACTGGCATTAAACGATTGTCAAGGCCAAGGACGTTGCGTTTCCCATTTGAGTTGAGAGTTTTACGGGAAAATAGAGCAGTCTGAAAGTGGATCGTCAAACCAGTTTTTGTTGTTCTTTTTGTTTCTGTTGGAATATTTGGAAAGTAAAAAACTCATGTAATAGCGCTCTCAGCTGTTTTTGCGTGTGTGTGTATAAGTGTGTGTGTATAAGTGTGAGCTCTCGCGCCCCCTCATACCCGCTCTCATATGCACACAATGAGAGCAAGAGCGCCGACGCTAATGTTAATCAAGTCAACGCGCTTTCGTTATTCACACAGGTCCGCCACTGAATCAGTTTAGTACGGGTAAGGCTGTCTGTCCGTACACTAGTCACTGCTCGCAGTTGTCTGAATTATATTTCTGCCTGAAATCGCCGCTGATTTCGCACAAACAAAATGTCGTCGACCGCCGTACAGCCGCCACCACCCGCACCCGCACCGCCGCCACCCTCATCAGCTGCTGCCGCTGCTGGAAAGGGCATCCATACAAAGCTCTACAATGGCTTGATTGGTGTCTGCGACAAATTTGTGCCAGCTAAAATGCGGCCACTTTGGATGCATCCTGCAGGTGGGCTAAATTCAACAACAACAATTAAATGAAATATACCACGTGTCGCATTTGCTTAACATAAACCGTTTTTAGGTCCAAAAACGATTTTCTTCTGGGCACCAATTTTCAAATGGGTAAGTTACCTATCAGACAGACTGACGGACAGCCTGTTACATAATTTCGACTGCGTGACCTTCGCTAATTTTCATTATCTCTGTCTGCTGCTGATATACAAAATCTAATGACATTAATACAGATATCTGCGAGTGTGTGCGAATTGCTTTTTATGATTATTTGTTTATTCGAGCAGAATAATCTTGTTGGGTGTTGTTTTAGACAGCTGCCCGTTTAGAGAGCGCACGCGATAAGTCTACATCAGGGTTTGTTAGTGTGTGTTTATGTGTGTGTGTGTGTGGTTGTATGTGTGGAAATTTTTATTGCTTTATAAGTATTTATTTACATATATTTATTTTATTGCACACGCCAAAATGACGATAGCATAAGCTAGCGCTGTAATCGCAACTTTTAATGTTAATTAACATGAATATGTTTACTTTTGTTAATGTTTTAATTTTTTTCTATCAACGTAAAAATAGGGTCTAGTCGCCGCTGGACTAAGTGATTTGGCCCGTCCTGCGGACACCATTTCCGTTTCTGGATGCGCTGCACTGGCTGCGACGGGTATTATCTGGTCACGGTATTCGCTGGTGATTATACCGAAAAATTACAGTTTGTTTGCCGTCAATTTGTTTGTGGGCCTAACGCAATTGGTACAATTGGGACGTGCGTATAACTATCAGTTGGAGCAGGAAAAGCTGAAGAAAGAGCAGAGTGAAAAGCCAGCGATAACTCAATGAACCACTGCACAAAGCTGACCCTTGGATGTGAACACGCACACCGTATAACATAACAGACGCATATCGAACCACTGCGTTTTATATTAAGTTGTTTAAGTTTCAGCGACTGACCATTTTTAATCGGTGGTTTATTGTTGCCTTACAAAACGTGATTCGTATTACTTAAGTTTGTAAATGTTGGAGGCTTCGCGTATATTTGTAATTACTTGTAGCTTTAATAGACTTTTTGTGATTTCTGTCAAGTAAAAAGAGAAATAAACAAATACATTCTCAGGACTGTAGATGGTAATGTAAAATGAACGAGCTTTTAAGTTGAATCGTGGCGCGCTTGCGCCGCTCGATAAGTATCGATAACTAATGAGTACTTTGGCTGAGGTGTGTGATATAAACTCTACACAATGCTGTCAACAGCTGTTCACACAAATAAAATATTTGCAATTTGATGCGCTTAGTAAAAAACTAGCTTCAATTATGAATTTAATAAGTGGTATTAAATTGTACATTGAAAAGATGTGCACAGAGTCTGGACCGGGCATGAAAATTATATTGCTAGACAAGGAGACGGTAATAAGAATCCCATTTTGCATGTGACTAATTTTTCACTGCCAACTTTTTAATATTTTTTAGACAAGCATAATTTCTATGGCCTTTAGCCAATCTGATATGTTGCAACGCGAGGTCTATCTCTTCGAACGCTTGGATTCCGGCCGTTCCAACGAGCGTTTGAAGTATCTCAAGTGCATTGTTTTCATACGCCCCACAAAGCAAAACATCCAGCTGCTGGCCAATGAGCTTCGCAATCCGAAATATAGCTCCTATTTTATATGTAAGTGTGCTATAACAGTTGCCAAGGATTGCCTGATAACGTAAATTAATCCTGTTATATAGACTTCAGCAACATTATACCACGCACTGATATCAAATACCTTGCTGAGTGCGATGAGTCAGAGTCGGTGCGCGAAGTGAAAGAATTGTATGCGGATTATTTGTGCGTTAATCCCAATTTATTTTCCATAAACATGCCGAATTGCATGACAAACCTTAACTGGCTGCCAGACGCATTGACTCGCAGCGTGCAGGGCATTACGGCCGTGCTGCTATCGCTAAAACTTAATCCGGTCATACGCTATCGCGCCGGATCGCAGGTGGCGCAGCTGCTGGCCAAGTTGATCTACGATCAAACGACCAAGGAATCATCGCTATTTGATTTTCGCGGCAATGTGGATGGTGCTGCGCCACCTTTGCTCTTGCTGCTGGATCGTAGGGATGATCCAGTAACACCCTTGCTACATCAGTGGTCGTATCAGGCCATGGTGCATGAGCTACTCAATATACGCAACAATCGAGTCGACTTGTCTGAGCGTCCCAATGTGCCCAAAGAGTTCAAGGAGCTGGTGCTATCCGGTGATCAGGATGAGTTTTATGGCAGCAACATGTATGCAAACTATGGTGAAATTGGCTCCACAATTAAACAGCTAATGGAGGAGTTTCAGCGCAAGGCAAACGATCACAAGAAAGTCGAGAGCATAGCCGATATGAAGAACTTCATTGATTCCTATCCGCAGTTCAAGAAAATGTCGGGCACCGTGCAAAAGCATTTGTGCGTCATGGGTGAGTTGTCCAGCATATCCAATAAGCGTAATCTGTTCGAAGTATCCGAACTGGAGCAGGAGATTGCCTGCAAGGCGGAGCATTCGGCACAGCTGCAGCGCATCAAGAAACTGATAGCCGACGAGCGCGTCAACGTTGATGATGCCATCAAATTGGTAGCACTGTATGCATTGCGCTACGAGCGCCATGCGAATTGCGATACATCCGGTCTCCTGCAGATAATCAAGACACGCGGCGGTAACACACAAATTGTGCCCGCTTTGATTGAGTATGCGGGCATGCATGTGCGCCAGGGCGATTTATTTAATATGGTGCGCATCACGGATGCCGTCAAGTTGACAAGGATTCTGATCAAGGGCCTCAAGGGTGTGGAGAATGTGTTCACACAGCACACGCCGCTTCTGAAGGAAACACTGGATGATGTCTTCAAAGGCCGCGAGCTGGAACCAGTTTATCCAGCCATCAATTCGGAGCTTGTGCCATACCGAAGGCCACCACAAGAGGTGGTTGTCTTTATCATCGGTGGCGCCACCTACGAGGAAGCCCTCACAGTACATCAGCTCAATAATGCCGGCTATAGGGTGATTCTGGGCGGCACCACCATACACAATTCCCAGAGTTTCATTAACGAAGTGCTGGCAGCCACAAGCGGCACCCAATTCAAACATACCAAATCCATGTTAAAATATTGCTCCCCAGATAACATATAAGAGCCAGAGCTTATTCCTTTTCAAAAAAAAACCTATTGCTATTGTTAACTATTTATGTATAATCTAATCCATTTATTATATTTTTAATTCTTTGCTAAATACTATGTAAAAAATATATGTAACATACTTTATATATACATAAAGAGATAAAATTAGCTACGTTTTGTAGTTGTTCAAAAAATGATTGCCTAAAGCAAATGTAAACAACTACAGGGTAGGGTTCTCTATTGCCATGACAATGGTTGCGCCGGCTGCCCAATGCACCTGCAAAAACTAATCATAAATAACAAACATTGTGAAAATTAAGCTAGCCATGTCCAGCACCTATTTCAACGAGATCTGGCATCAGGCGCAGCACGAATGCGAGCAACTGGCCATTATCGACTATGAGCGACAGCACCAAAATGTGGACACCACGGTGGCCACCATAAGTGGTGTTGCCGGTGTCATTACCAGCTCCGTGGCCGCTGCGGCCGAATCTAAAGCCCTGCTGCAGGCCAGCCTCTATGAGTTCTATCTGCGCTACATATGCCTGAGCAATCGCCTGGAGGAAGTCTATGATAATGCAAGTATCAGGGCTTATTGCTCGAGAAGAAAGAATCCATTTAGATGATTCGTAGGTCATTATTGGACCTGGGAATCCGCCCAAACACATTACACAAAGAGTTGGAATATGTTTTTATTTATTCCTTGATTCAGATGAGCTTTAACATTTTTTATTAAAGTGAAAATTAATTATTTATCTAAGTGAAGTTCTTCTTCCCGATTCCCCATATCTTGCACCGCAGATGATTCAACCCCAGAAACGTGAATTGGTGCGTAAGCTGTTGGACGCTTGCCTGGGCCGTGTCGTTGAACTGAAACATGATCTGGTTAACATTGATCTCATGGAGTTCAGCTACAATGACGAGGTGGTGGAGCGTCTGCGTCTTACGCCCATAGAAACGGAACTGCGCATTCCACGCTACTTTTTGCGCGAGCGTGAACAGGAGCTGGAGTTCCGTAAGCGCACCATGCATGAGCTTCTGATTAAGTTGGGCTGGCTGGAGGAGCATGCCCTGGAAGAGCCGCTCACCGAGATCGAGGCCATACGACTGCTGCAGATGCACGAGCGTGCGCGTCAGGGTCGTCTCCGTGCGCACTTTATGAAGGAGATACGCAAGGAAAAGGGCAAAATGGAGGATCGGAGCGATAAGGAGCGTACCGACTCCGGCCTACTGGCAGCCATGAAAATACAGAAAATGTGGCGGGGCCATACGGCACGTCGCATCACCCGACGCCGTAAGATGGATGAGATGATACTGATTGGCATGGTTCCGCCACCGGCGTCGGTGCTCAAGGAACGTGCCGATAAGGTGCAGAGGCACAACGCGACAGACGTGCGACGCCGGTATGTTGCACAACAAGCCTATGCGGCGCAGTTCGAGGCGCGCCAGGTGGCCATACAGGAGGAGATTAGGCTGAAGCATGGCCCCACCATGAAGGAGGATATTGCCGATGAAATACGCGCCTGGATAAAGGATTGTTATGACAAGACGGGTAAGCTGCCCGATTTCCCCTCAGAGGATCAGGGCGGTTCGCTGCACATATTCAGTCGTCCCGGTACAGAGAGCGAGCACAGTCGCTCCTCGGCGCGTTCTTCCAAGGAGTCGCGCAAAACCAAGGATAAATCTAAATCGCCGGCGCGCAGCGGTGATTTGAATGTTAATGAAAATCAGGATGAGGATATGAACTTTCAACCGGCTCCATCGGTTTGCCTGCCCGATATACGTGCGGAAATTGAATAGTAAGCAATCCCAAGAGATTCTAATCCAATCAAAAAAATAAATAGTCCTTTCACAGCTTCAATGACACCTGGCGTGACAAGGATGAGTCGGGCGTGACCAGCCAGGCGCCCTACGAGGACATGATCTATGCCGAAAAGTATCAGGAAGTGGAGCTGGAATTCCGACGCGCCGTCGACGATGTTATGCGCCAAGAGCTCGAGCTACTCCAGACCATGGTGGGCAAAAAAGTCAAGAAAAGCAACAAGAAGACTCGCCGTTCCGGCAAGAAGAACAAAAAGAAGAAGGAAAAGGATCTGACCCCCGATCGGACTACGGAATCGCTGTACGAAGAGCTGGTCACCAATGGCATTATACGCAAGCATCCTGAGCTCAAATTGAAGCAATTTCTGGGCGACAAGGCGCTAACCGCACGCAACGGTACAAATCCTTCTCCGGGTGACATACGCCAGGTGCTTACCGAATACTGCATCCTGCCGCTTGGCTCGGAGGCCATACACAATTGTACGCCACTTATACGGTCTGTACTGCTGGCCGGTCCGCGAGGATCTGGCAAAAAGGCGCTGCTGCATGCCATCTGCACGGAGGTTGGCGCCGTTTTGTTTGACCTAACGCCAGCTAACATTGTTGGCAAATATCCGGGCAAATCTGGATTGATCATGCTTATACATCTAGTCCTTAAAGTGTCCAGGCTTCTGCAGCCGGCGGTTATATACATGGGCGATGCAGAACGTCCGTTTATGAAGAAAATACCCAAAACGGATCGAACCGATCCGAAACGCTTGAAAAAGGATTTGCCCAAGATGATTAAGAATATTGCTCCGGAGGATAGGGTTATCTTTATAGGTACCTCTAACTTGCCGTGGGAGGCGGATCAGAAGCTACTGCAGTCTGTGTACAATCGGTTTATATACATTCCACGTCCAGATTATGGCGCTATGTCGCACGCCTGGAAAACGCTGCTCCAGTGAGTATTGGATATTACTTTGTGGTTGTTCTTAATCCCAATGCTTTGCAGCGAATACTCTGGCGGTATCTCCAATTTGGACACCAGTGCCATGGCCAAAATATCCGATGGATATACCATAGGTGCTGTGGATGCTTGCCTACGCGAGGTGATGACCTGCAAGCGGAAGCTGCAGCTGCGTTCACAACCGTTGACCAACGCGGAGATCATCAATGTGCTCTGGTAGGTATGATGGTTGATCCAGCCAGGCTGTGCTCATCTTTATCTAATCCTTGCAGCGCTCGTGATCCCGTTTATCGGGAGGAAGAAGAGGCCTTCGAATCATGGTGGTCTAAAACGCCGCTGGGTCGACGTAGACAACGCTTTCTGGAACTAGAAGAGGAACGCCTGCTCGAGGAGCAGGCACAGCAGGCCAAACAGGGCAACGGCAACAAAAAGAAAGGCTTAAATTAAGCTAAACACAGTTTCTGAGCTTTCTATTACAATTTTAACTTAAAAATAAAGTCTTTATTGCCGCATTTGCAGCGCAGCTCACGAACGGCAAGTTTGAGCGTCTCATGATCCTCCAGCAGTTGCTGCAACTCCTGCAGCTTATCCTGCAGCAAGAGCTGCTGATCACCAACACACCACAGGAGACTGACATGAAATGAAGGATTGTCATAGAATTGCGCTAGGCGATAGTCACGCATAACCAAGTCAACGGGTCGCAAAAGGGCAGACATTTTTGTCCCATAGGCAGCATCAAGCTGCACGGCCAGAAAGGTTCTCGTACGCTCCTCATTTGTGTAGACTCGTAGCTAGGTGAGAAAATACTTTATACGTCTATAAATCATTAGCCGTCTGTTGCAGCGTAAGGTACATACCAAATTCAGCGTACTGTTGAAGCTGTGTAAATTCAGAGAATATACAACTGGAATATACATTAACAGGATAGTTAAGGGATTAAAACTACGCACCCCACGCAGCTGTGCAACGCCTGCTGCAGCGATCGGTGAAACTCATCAATTTGATGATATTGTAGCACCACAGTTTTGCTCAAACTCAGATGTAGTGATTCATTGGCCCTTAGCTCCAGGTCCGGGGAAAGCCTCTTTATAGCTTCTATTTGAAAATCCTCCAGCTGCTCGGCACAAGCCAGAACGGGCATATAAACAAAAGTTGCCCAATTGCCGCGCTCGTGCTTAAAGCTACGTATGCGCCCGCCATGTAACTCAGAATTATCAAAATCGTCCTCCTGCTCCTCATCTTCGGCAGGTTTTGTTATCTTAGAGCCCAGCAAAGAAACAGCTGCGGGTAACGCCGGTCTTGCGGGTTTTTAATTAAGGAAACATAGTATATTAAAACTAATTAACATTACCTCTTCAGACTGATCGGCGCAGGAGCTTTGTTTTCTGTTTCGTCGCTTTCTGAGCTTGAGCTGTTGCCATAATCCACCAGAGCCATCATGCTGATAAGTTTTCTTTATTTTTTTTATTTACATGTATTTTGCTACTCTTGCCACCATTTTAAAGAGTGACCATATGTCTAGATAAAATCCATATTTTGTAGGTGACAAGACATTTCGACTTTTTCTATGGTATTTTTGTGGAATATAATATTTTTTAATTTCGGCTATTTTTGAATTTTCTGCCTACGTTCACACTCGCACTGAGTGTCAATCAAAAGTCTCTCTCCAAATCGTCCGGCACATTTAGGCAGATCTATTTATTTTTTGATTAATATTTTTCAACAATGCAAATGCATGTGCATTGCTAAACGACCGACAAAAGAGTGTATTTAGTGACTAGAAATATAAAGAAGCACAAAATGCAATTAGGCTCCAAGCTTCATGTGTACAAGGGCGAGTGGGGACTGCCGTCCATTGATTTCGAATGTATGCGTGCCTTGGTAAGTTCAGTTGCATCACAATCAGCAACTCCTCGCTATCAGCAATATCAACTGGTATTTATATATATTAATATATTTGTCATTTGACGAAATTGTTGACAGTGTCTGCTGCGCTTCACCCGCTGCCCCATGGACATTGAAACAAACACAAACCCATTGCGTTCGGGCGCTGGAAAATTGCCCTATCTACAGATTGGCAATGATAAATTTCTTGGATATAAGGAAATTAAACGCGTGCTGGATCTAGAGGTGAACAAAGCATGAAATAGCCGGGTGAATAAACCTGTTGTCTATTTATAGCACGTGCCGCAGCTCTTACTTATCTCTGCATTTATTCCAATTGAGCGCAAAATTCATTTGATGTTCTTTTTTTTTGTATATTTCAGGGTTATCCGGTCGATGCGCACTTAAATATAAAACAAAAGCACTTGTCCACCACATACTCGAACTGGGTATTCACACAACTGCATGCCTACTACCATTACTTCCTGTACGGTGAACCCCACAACTATGATACAACCACACGTGGCTTGTACGCAAAGCGCACACCATTCCCATTTAATTTCTACTATCCTTCAACTTACCAGCGCGAAGCCACCGATGTAGTCCAGGTGCTGGGTGGTTTCGACATTAACGATAAGCTGGAGAAGCATGAGGCCGAATATGTAAGTGTATACCCATTAAACCCATTGAAGCAAACATATTTAATGTCATTAAGTTTATATCTATAAAAACATAGTACACAGTTTGGAAGCTAACTTGATAATACTTCGCGTAGAAACCCTTTATTATATAGGCTGACGTTGGAAGAATTTGTCAAACGAAAAACTCTTGTGTACTACGTTTTTATGTTTTGTTTTGATTTCGTCATCAAACTCAGCAATTTTGGGTTTCACATAAGTCCTTATATGGAAGACAAAACTGTCCCTAGCATCGGCCTATTATATGTCTACAGGAAAATTTATACTTCGGCAACCAGATATATTAATTAAATTTATAAATTTCTTGTTTCCAGCTGACAGCTAATGCCAAAAAGTGTGTTAACTTACTTTCTCGTAAATTGGGACGCAAGGTTTGGTTCTTTGGTGACACCTACAGCGAATTGGACGCCATTGTCTACAGTTATTTGGCGATTATTTACAAAATAACACTGCCCAATAATCCGCTACAGAATCACATAAAAGGCTGTCAAAATCTAGTCAATTTCATTAATCGCATCACCAAGGATATATTCCGCAATGAATGTTATAGTTCCACCAAACTAACCAAAGCCTCCAGCCACACAGACAATACGATGACCCCGTCGGAGCGCAAATTCTTGGAGACGGAGCTAAATACAAAGATTGTCGCTGGCGTTGGCGCTGTGCTGGCGATGGGCGCATTTGCAGCTTGGCGTGGCATTTATACCCAGGTAGGCAACAGTTGCGATATTTTAAATCTATTTTCTTAACATCATTTTGCCGCAAGCTCAAGATTAAATATTTTGCTTGACTGCAAAGCGAATGCTGTAATCGAAAAATAAATAGATCAAATTTAAATTTAGGTGCAAACAAATTTTAAGGTAACTTTAAGTTATGTTGATATTTTTTGCTTTATGCACATTTTTCACTTGCAGTTAACACGCTCGTCAACGGATTATGACGGCATCGACTATGAGGACGATGAGTTGGAGGAGGTCTTGGATTAGCTTCAGCTCTGTACATTTATAATTTTAACCAACGATGTATATTTATAAATATTTCGAAAATGAGCGAATCGGAAGGCACAGCAGAAATTTGTCTTTAAGCAATTCGTTAAAAAAGCACGCATATATATTTATGTATATACGATTTGAAGCTATATAAATTAATAATGCGCCCTCCACCATTATTCATTGTTTTTTAAAACTATTTACCCTATATGAAATTGTATGTTTAAAGGAAAAATAAGCAGCAACCAAAGCGTAATAAAACGTACAACTGACGCTGCTAACGTTAATTGTAACTAGATTGAATTATTCAGTTATTTTAATGATATATACCCACAGATGCAATCTTGCATATAGTATATACAGTAACCACCATTTTATATGTGTGTTTTTTGCTTGACTATATTAATGTTTATTAAAAATCTAAGCTAAGTATTAAAATAGTTTTCACATTGATTTTTGCAGAGGAAACGAAAATCAAGCTATTGGTTTACCTCATGAATTGGAAGTGAATATAATAAGTTATACAATATATAGAAGCCATAATGGAATATCTAAGTGAATGACCAAGCTATTGGCATTCATGTCTTGAGCGCATCTTGTAGTTTTCGTCGTGCTACGCCCACGCGATCTTCCTGCTTGCGTATATCATCTTCGGAGATGATAACCGCATGCATTAGCGGTTGTTCAGGATTCATGAAAGCCATCGCATTCTTGGTTAGTTCCGCCTTTGTGGAGCTCTGGCCATGCACGCCGGCATTGAGCATATGCAGCGCTGTGGCCACCGACTGCAATACGGTCTGTTCATTGACATTGGGACCGACGGTGCGTATGGTTTTTGGCAGTGTTATGTCGTCCAGTTCCTCGCCATTGTCATGGCAGGCACGCAAACGCTCCAGACGCTTTTCCCAAAACAGCTGCTTTGGCTTCTCCTGGCCACCGTGTTTGGCATCGTGCTTCACTTTGCTGGGTTCATGATTGCGCACCACGGTCACCGGCTGCTTAAATATGGAGGCAGTCTGTCGTATAGGCGGTACCAGGGAGACATCTGTGCGCAGAGCACGGCTGTAAAAATGGGACTACCAATTAGATATCAGCGTTATGGAAGACGTGTACAAATTTTGACAACACATAAGAAATATGAGAGTACATGCAATAACATATTTGTCGAGTAAGAACTATGAAGGAAAATAGAAAATGATAGCAATTATTTACAATTTGGCCAATTGCTGTGATTGTACTAAGAATTTGATTGGTTAGTTTAACAAAATTAGGTTGATAGGCGCATGCAAGAGCTCGGTCAGCCAAGGACAATCAACTTGGCTATACCTGAATTCAAATTGTTGCTGCTGCTGTTGTTGCTGCTGCTGTTGCTGCTGCTGCTGCTGCTGCTGGCGCAGATTAGCTGCAGATGTTGTCGTCGTTGCTGAAGTCGCTGTTATCGATGCTGCTGGCGTTATCGATGCTGCAATAAACCCACCGCTGCTGTTGTTGTTGCTGAAGCTTTGTGCTTGAGCTCGGCTATATTTACGTTTGAGCGCATTGGCAGCGTTGCCACCTAGGCTAGCGTTACTGATAATGGCGCCCGCTGCATTGCAACGATATAGTGATATGGATGGCGAGGGCATTTGCCGTTGTATTTGCATTTTGCCAGTTTGAAAGTCAAAATTGCTAACGTCGAACATTTCGGCGCTTAATTGGCGTGCTAATTGCGGCTTGCTTTCAATTCTTTTGCCTGTGGGGCTGTACACATCCAATTGGTGAACGGGCAGGTATGGTTGAGGGTAGGTAATGTGTGGTGTGTGTGTGTGTGCGTGTTTGTGTGTGTAGTAAATGTAATAACAAAAAAAGTAGTGAGAGTGAGTTAAACGTATTCGTTATCGCACGTGCACTCGCTGTGTGTATGTGTGTGTTTATATTACAATTTACGTTAGTTTCCAGGTTTCACCTTCACCGTGTACCTGCTTAAAGTTCAGCCAAGTAATTCGCTTGGTTACCTGTAGTAGAATACATCAACGCCCGTGTTACAGCCTGATTTCTTGTGCACTTCCTCGCGCTGCCAGCCCTTTGGTAGTGCGGTGCAATCAACGCGTTTCCTTTCGATTGTAATGCTCGGATTCATTTGCATGCTCCAAATATTTAATTATGTCTGCCCGTTTTGTTTATTTTTTTTTTAACATTCGAAGAGAACGTCTTTTTCGATACTCTTGCTTAGAGAAATATGTACTCACAGGAATAATAGGTGTTAGAAGATTCGCCAGGCACTGACAGTAGTGGCAACAGTTGCCCGTGACGTCACAGTTGCATACGATTATCTATTCTATGATGATTCAGCTCTATTTACATTCTGTTTTTATTGTACTAAATATAGAAGAAATATTAAATTGTTGTATCATTCAAAGTCAAGTTGGCTACATAGTTTAGTAGATTCGGTAAACTACAACTTTGATTAACGATACCGGCGTAACCTTGTACATGCCAGCATTTATATACTTTTGTACTCGTTGCTAAAATGACAGTGTTGGAAAATGTTATAATGGTGAACGCGAATCAGCGGATAAAGAAGAAGATCCAGTCGACGACGTAAGTAATTTTCGTGTGACTAAACATTAATTCCACTTGTGCGGTTAATCAACAATTTCTCAGTTATTATAGTAATAATGTAATATATAAGTTCGCAAGGGTTTATCAAGCAATTTTAACATGGTTTCATCAACTTCACAGGCTCCTAAACACAAGAGTTTGACAGTCATCGTTTTGGGGCAACAAGAACAAGTGGCAGCTGGAAGATTTTTGACAAAAAAAAAAACCACTGAAAGAAAAAAGAGGAAACATGTCTTCATCAGCCATATTTGTGCTGGACGTTAAGGGCAAGGTGTTGATATCCCGTAATTATCGCGGCGACAACATTGACATGGCTGTAATCGATAAATTCATGCCACTGCTCATGGAACGCGAAGAGGAAGGTCTCGTCACGCCCATTCTGCAGACTTCAGAGACCACTTTTGCCTATATAAAGACAAATAATTTGTATATTGTGTCTACGACGCCACGTAATAAGAATGTGAATATTGCCCTGGTCTTTGTATTTCTGCACAAAATCGCACAGGTGTTTGTGGAGTATTTCAAGGAGCTGGAGGAGGAATCCATCCGAGATAATTTCGTTATCATATACGAGTTGCTCGACGAGCTCATTGACTTTGGCTATCCACAAACGACGGACTCCAAAATACTGCAGGAGTATATCACGCAAGAGGGTCACAAATTAGAGCTGCAACCGCGCATACCCGTAGCTGTAACAAATGCCGTCTCCTGGCGCTCAGAGGGCATCAAATATCGCAAAAATGAGGTTTTCCTTGATGTCATCGAGTCGGTCAATCTGCTTGCCAATGCCAATGGCAATGTGCTGCGCAGCGAAATCGTTGGCGCCATTAAAATGCGCGTCTATTTGTCTGGCATGCCAGAGCTGCGTTTGGGCCTCAACGATAAGGTGCTCTTCGAGAGCACTGGGCGTGGCAAATCCAAGTCCGTGGAGCTGGAGGATGTCAAATTTCATCAGTGTGTGCGACTGTCGCGATTCGAAAATGATCGCACAATCTCGTTTATACCACCGGATGGCGAATTCGAGCTGATGTCCTATCGCCTCAACACGCATGTGAGTGTGAATCCCATATATGTTATCTAGAATAATTTATGTAATACCGCTGTCCCCCATCCCTTGGCTTCACGACAGGTCAAGCCACTGATCTGGATTGAATCGGTAATTGAGCGGCATGCACACTCGCGCGTCGAGTACATGATTAAGGCAAAATCTCAATTCAAGCGCAGATCAACGGCCAATAATGTGGAAATTGTTATACCCGTGCCCGCAGATGCGGATTCACCCAAATTCAAAACAACCATTGGCAGCTGCAAATATGCTCCGGAGCAAAATGCCATCATATGGACAATCAAATCGTTCCCAGGCGGCAAGGAGTATTTAATGCGTGCACACTTTGGCCTGCCCAGCGTGGAGAGCGAGGACAACACCGAAGGCAAGCCACCGATACAGGTGCGCTTCGAGATACCCTATTTCACGACGTCGGGCATACAGGTGCGCTATCTGAAGATCATTGAGAAGAGCGGCTACCAGGCATTGCCCTGGGTCCGTTATATCACCCAAAACGGCGATTATCAGCTGCGTACCAACTAATCCCTGTCCACACACACACACACAAACGCGCGCATTCCAGCCAAGCTTAAGCGAAAAACCTTGTTGTGTCCAATTTGAGTTAGGAGTATGTTAATTAGCTGCCTCACCTTCACATAGTGCGTTAAGTCGAAAGCATATTGAAAAGGGTGTTCCCGCAAGCGCCCAGCTTTTCCAGCTGATTAGTAAATCGATTTTTCAGCGTTTAATATCAAACTTTTTAAACATTTTGTTAAGCTTTAAATTTGGTCAAATATTAGCCGGCCTAGGCTGTACTTACTAAAACTTCAACAAATTAGCCATATTTTGAATTTAAACTTGCGAAGAAATATATAATTTGTTATAGGTTTTAAAAATTCAAAATGTGGTAAAATAAATGTAATGTGGCTGAAAACAACTAAAGTCAACGCCCGCACACACCTTTTAAAATTATCTTTTAAAAACTTGACATTGATTATATAAATAAAAAAATTTAGAAAATCTTTTTTTTGAGACATAGTTTCTACAAGTTGCATCGATTTTAAACACTTCAATATAGATTTTATGAAACGCCCTTTGTAATATTGTTACATTTGTTGATAAATTTAGCTATTGTTGCATACCGCAAAAAAAAAAACTTAACGTAACGATCTGAGTTCATTTCTGCACAACTTTGTTCAATAAATTTCAGCTTAGACGTTTGCCGGAATACCCTTAACTATTATTACAGATGTATTGTGTTATTTTTGCGTATTGTATTTGTATTTTATATGTAAATCAAGCTAATAAATTTTTGAAAAACATTTTTCAAATGTACTTAAGGCTAAGCTCGAGTAAATATGTGTTTTCGAAAAATGTACGACTATAAAAGCCCAGAAAATGTATATTATAACGGTTTTGCATGGCATGCCTCTTAATAAAAAACATGTTTTCAGTTTTGTTTACATATTTAACAACAAATCGCAAATGGTTTGGAACCCTTAAAACTGAACAAAAGATCGCTTAAGCTTAATAAATGCACTTTTTAATGAGTCTCTCCGGTTATGTTTTGTAGTATATTGAAGCGTTTGCTTTTTGGTCCATGCTTTTACTGCTTGAAGCTCTTCAGCGGATAGTGCTGCTTGTGCGCCTCGATGTGCTGCTCGAGCTCGCGCTGCTGCTGCTTCAGATGGTCGGGCATCACATCGTACACACCCTCGAACATCTCACGCCAATTGGGCTTCAATTTCTTCTCGGAGATGGCGATTTGCTTGAGCACCTGCTTGCGCACACCACTCACAAATTCCGTTTCCTGCTGCTCATTGAACCAGCCCTTGTGCACCATGTAGCTCTTCAGCTTTGAGATGGGGTGCTCCAGTGTGTTCCACACTTCGATTTCCTCCGCCGAACGGTAAGCTGTGCTGTCATCCGACGTGGAATGATGACCCACACGATAGGCCAGCGCCTCAAACACAATCGGCTTGTTCTCTCGCAACACGTACTCGCGTGCCAGCTTCATCGCATTATAAACGGCAAAGACATCGGTGCCATCCACTCTTATGGTAGCAATGCCATAGCCCATCGGACCACGCCCAGCAATGCCATCGCCCCGGTATTGTTCGTTCGACGGCGTGGATATGGCAAATCCATTGTTGCGGCTGCAATCAAGGGAATGTGAGTAGTTTGTCAGGCATAACATTCACTGAGATGCGACTGTAATACCCACCAGAACAATATGACTGGACACTCTAGCGTGGCGGCAAAATTGAATGCAGCATGTGCATCACCCTCGGAAGCAGCGCCCTCACCAAAGTAACAAACAACGCAGGAATCGTTGTTGGGCTGACGTTTCAACGCGTAGGCGGCGCCCACTGCCTGCGGTATTTGCGTGGCTAAACAGTGGCAAGTGCATGAGCAAAGATTAGCATTAATTTATGAGGATAAAGAAAAGCTGCGGCTTACACAACGGACTGGAGATAGTCACAAAGTTCAGCTCCTTGGAGCCATAATGCACGGGCATTTGCTTTCCGCGTCCAAGATCATCATCGTTGCCATAGCACTGATCGATGAATTGATCAATGCGAAAACCGCGCCAGACCAGGACACCCGCCTCCCGATACTGGCCGTAGATGATGTCGCGCATCTCCAAGGCAGCGGCGCTGCCAATATGGGATGCCTCCTCACCAAAGTTCGTCATGTAGAAGGAGATGCGTCCCTGTCGCTGCGATTCGTACAGTATTTTATCCATTGTAGACAGCAGGAGCATGTCGCGGAACATTTTCTCAACGACTTCCTGACTAAGATGTGGATCCTCCTGTTCATTGAGAATGTAACCATCGCGATCCAACACCCGGTAGATGGGTATGGGCGAATAGTCCTCGGGCAGTGTCAGCTTCAGATTGTTAATAAATGGCGCATCACGTGCGCCTGGAAACGCGTAACGATCGTCCACTGACTTTCCACTGGAACTGTAGCCTCGGTGTGCACCCGCTGCCCCAAGCTAAGCTCAAACGTAAAAAGAGTCAATAACAAAAACAACTAACCGCAAGGTATTATAAATTCCAATTGGAATACGCACCGTTTTGACATTTTGTCTGGCAGCAGTTAAAAGATGAACGGATTTGCGCAGGAATGACATGTTTACGAATGAAAAAGGAAAACGGAGACTGCAACAGGACAAAATGCAAAAGAAATATTGTATGTTTTTTTATGCTGCGTCGTGTTCTGTTGCTGCCTTGTGCTACAAATCAGCTGCGTTACGCAACAGGTATGCGCTTAGGCTTAGTATGCAGCATATAACCTTTGCGCGCTTAATTTGCATGAACAAAATTCTTATGAATTAATATTCACGACATTTTTTGAGCAGATAACATTGAACAAGTGGTTTTAAATTACATTTAATCACCTTATGCAGAAGACTGTTTCCTATGCAAAATATTTATATAATATATTTATGGCATATTTTGCTTTGCCTTTGATTAGCATACTAGTCCGCACAAGTGTTGGTAAACATTGCAAGACATGGCAGCTGTGCAGCTCGACGAGGCGCAATTCTGGCAGTCCATAGCCATATTAATAAAAAACTATCATGCGTTGAATAAAAAACTATTTGAGGTGCTTATAACACAGGTGCAAAAGCTGCAGCAGGGTAAACTATATGAATCCAACGAGGCGGAGCTGGAACAGCAGCTGCGAACCAATGCTAATGAGAGAACATGTGAGGGTTTTAGGATTGGCTACAAAATGCTGACCAAAAAGTTGGCCACAAATATTTTGGCCAATGGAACTGTGGGTGAGTTTAATCTAAATTAACTTTGAATGATATAATTAAAAAATATAAACTAATTGACAGATTTTAGCAAACAAAGCTATGAATGCCATTTCCTAGGGTACGACGGTTTTGATGATTTCTCCGTTAATTTAATTGGTGACCAGCTGGAAGCTGTTACGCTGCCGCATCGAGTGGAATTGGGCTGCGAGCAAAGCTCTTGCTGGGCGCAGTTTGTGCTAAAGCCTAAACTTTACAAGTGGTCCCAGGGCAAGCGGGACGAAAGCGCACAGAAATCGTTGCGTTTATTAGATGTGGAAATGTACAGCGAACTGTACAAAAAACTCAAGCAAAAACACGCGCAGCGTCTGCTGCAGTGCTGGCAAACGGCAAACGAATCGACAGATCCGTTAAAGTTTATATATGAGGATTTAGCCATTGCCGCATACCTAATCACCCTGTGGAACTGCACACAGTCGCAGCCTACAGCATTTGCTGACTTGGGCTGCGGCAATGGGCTGCTCGTCCATGTGCTCAATGCGGAGGGCTACAGGGGATACGGCTACGATGTACGCAGGCGTAAACTGTGGTCACTTTATCCGGCGCAAACAAATGCAAGTCTCATTGAGCAAACCGTGGAGCCAAATAGCTTTTCATTGGATTATCCGGACATTGACTGGCTAATAGGTAATCATTCTGATGAGTTGTCACCCTGGTTGCCAGTGTTGGCGGCGCGCCTAAAAACCAGCTTTTTTCTGCTGCCGTGCTGCCCATTTGAGCTTTCCGGCGTCAAGTATCAGCGGCGCAACACTAGCATCAGCGCTTATCAGGATTTTCTGATATATGCACGACAAATCTCGGATAAGTGTGGCTTTGAAACGCTGCAGGATCGGCTGAAGATACCAAGCACCAAACGCTTAGCTTTAATTGGCTTAAAGCACACAACAAAAGCGAACCAGTGCCTGGAACATTTTGTGCAGCAAGAGCTGCAAAAGCACAAAGCGGGCGTCGACAGCGCGGCGAATTCAGTAAAGCTGCGCGAGAAAGCAGAGAGCGTAAGAAATTGCACGCAAGTGGAAAAGAGCATAATTGACGCGTTAGTTTTGAAAATCTTTTGCATGTTGTTGGCCAATGCAAATACAACCAGCAATGCTATGGATAACGATTGGCTGCCAGGACAACAGTTGACAATGCGTGACATAGCACAGGGCCTCACCAAAGCGGAGCTTAGCGGCATCAAGTCCGAGTGCGGCGGTATTAAGACACTGCTGCGCAATAAGCACGAAGTTTTTGAGTTTTGCGGCGAAGATCGTATTCGCATACGTAAGCCCAAAGCTGCTGCTGCGGCGACTGAAAGCACTGGAAAGCAGGTAACGACTAAGAAACGACCCTGTTTCTTTAAGCAACACCATCCTCAGGGCTGTCCGTTAAAAGGTAACGAGTGCTCCTTTATACATTAATTGTAAACATTCGTCATTAAAACCAAATTAAAAAAAAATCAAACTTAATTTCAAACAATTTATTAATATAGTGCATGTTTGTCAGTTAAAATGCTTGAATTGGTATTATTTATTTGCGAAAGATATGGAAATTTAGAGCTATTTTTTTGATAAAAATCAGCAAAAATAATTGTTATCTATGTATTATATTTGGAGTTTTAGTTGTCGAAAATAATATAATTATTACAATAGGAAAACACAACTGAATTAAGGATTACCATAAGAACGACGTCCCTATGGCAAAATTATTATATCTTGTCTAGCCCAGTTTGGGTATTGGATTTTCGGAATCCCAAAGTTAATTATATATAACATATTTTCCAGCTTTTATAACATAGAATCTTCTTAGGGTTCAGTTTTGTAATTTAATATATATTTCGTTTCTACATTTAAATAATTGTTTCGGATATAAATTGTAATTCAAATGCATTTGTTGTTATTGCTGTTGGTTTGTTGTTATTGTTTTTTTTTATGTTTACCAATTCAAATGAAATAGTGTTACTAAATTCTCTTCAACGGGAACTGTCCGAACTGTTGCTGCGACGCCGGCGGCGTATGGGTGAACGTGAACGACGTCGCGGTGAGCGACGGCCGCGCGGCGGTGAATTGCGACGTCCGCCGCCTCCGCCGCCGCCACGATTATTGAAGCGATTGAACTGCGGCGGGGAACGCCAGCGACCGCCCTGAGGACGGCGCATCTGTGGCGATGGTCGTCGCATGGGCGGTCGCTGCTTTGGCACAATAACTGGCGATACTGTTATTTCCTGGCCATCGATCTGGCCGCCATCCATGTGCTTCATGGCCGACTCGCAGTCCTCGGCCGTGGCATACTCTACATAGGCCATGCCACGTCCAAAATTAGGATGATAACGATCAGTCGGGAATTCTACATTCTTTACAGTGCCAAAGCTGCTAAAGATCTCCAACACATGATCCTTGGTCACGTTGCGTGTCAGTCGGCCGACATGGATGCGCACCGGCTTTGGTGTGGGTGAGCGTGAACGGGTGCGACTGCGACTACGTGAACGCTCGCGGCGCTTGGGCGGCGGGGTGCGATCGACGGTGCCGCGACCTCCACGGCGACGTGGCGAACGCGAGCGGCTGATCGAGCGGGAACGTTCGCGTTTCACGTTATTTACCTCGCCACCAGCTACCCCGCCGCCTCCAGCACCACGATCGTTGGAGCTGCGACGTGCTCGATCTCTGGAACGGCTACGACTACGCTGCACACGATCCCGATCACGTTCCGTGCGTTCACGTTCTGATTCCTTGCGAACCTTGCTATTGGGGCGTGGCGATTTGGAAGCTCTGCGCGGTGAACGAGAGGTATCCTTGCCGGCTGCTGCGCTGCCGCCGGCACCACGACGTCGATTTTTCTCGCTGCGATCGGTATCGCTAGTCGATGAGGACGACGAGCTAGACGAATCACTTGAGCTGCTCGAACTGGAGCGTGAGTTGGAGCCGGAGCTGCTGCGCGATGATGTGCTGTTCGATGAGCTGTACAAAATGGAGTAAACGTTTGTGTTAGACCGGCAAAAATACGTGAAATAAATGTGCACCTTCTGCTGGAGTCGCTGCTTGAGGAGGCGGAGCCTCGACGCTTGCGTTCTCGCTCTCGGCGCGACGAATTGGATGTAGCGGCCTTTGCGTCCTTCTCTTTAATATCTTTCTCTTTATTTTCCTTTTCGCCCTCGGCGGTGGGAGACCGGGCACGCGCCCTAATGGGGAAAAAATGTCGGTCATGAAACACCGCTACGAAAATGCGACTTTTACTTACATTTTGCACTTGAGCTGTAACTTAATTAGTTATCCAGTGATAAGTTGTCAAATTGTTAACAAATTTGTTGCAAAAACAAAACTTTTTAAAACACGAAAATACCAAGTTAAATATTCAATGGCGTTCGGGCATCGATGTATATTTTTTATTTGCCGATAACATATCGATGTCAGTTCAACAAACTGTGCAGGACTGTATTGAATGCTTTTATGTGCATAAGTACCCCAAACACATTCGATATATGCGCCATGCAACCCTGCTAGTTAGTGTGACCGTTTTGTTGAAGTAAGAAATACATATGTGCATACATATACAGCGCTTTGTCAGGTCGAGAATCGTGCAGAGGTAAACTCCCATAAAAAATTTGGATACATTTTATACCAAATGTAATTTGTTTTTAAAAGGACTATTTTTCTTGAGGTTATCTCTAATGCAAATAGTGCTCTTCAACATTAACACATAGATGTAGTGAAATTATATAAAACGCAATTGTTTAATGCCAGTTTTTCTGTGGATGGTGACGAAGTGGTTGTCATTGTGAATTCATATACATATGTGCGTATGTATGTGTGTCTGAATGCATGTGTACACACACACATGCACCTATAAATATGTGAACTTGTGTTGATTTAAGTGAGCTATGGTCAAAGGGGAGCGGTTCGAAGCCACTGTGGGGCATAAAGTTTCGATTTTTTTTTTTTACCCATATCTATGTATACCCACAACGCATTTACAATTGATACGCTTTGGCTCCCCACACAAAGAGCGAGAGAGAGAGAGAGAGAGGCAGACGAGTGGTGAGAGTTCAAGTAAACGGGGGAGCAAATAAATGGTCCGTCTGAGCATTTTACCACACTACCTCTTTGTCTGTTCAAGCGAGCTCTCGTGCTGGTATTTTACTCGCTCGCGTTGATGTGTAAAATTATTTATTTTTCCCCCGTTGATTTTGCAATCGTTTGTGCCTGTGTGTATGTGGTGTGCGCGTTATTGTGAATCTTGTTAACGTATATACAATAATATGGAACGTAATTATCTGTATGTGCATAGTTAACAAAAGGCAGGCAAACATTTTTATGGTATACATATATATTCATATAATCGATGTGCGTATGCGTATGTGTGTGTGTGCTTCAAAAAAGAGCAATCGTCGTTGAAGTTCGACTACCATGACTACGCAATAGCAACAACAAGAGACAGCGAGACTTGGTTAGGTGGGTTTTTGCTTTTCTCTTCTGCTCATTGCCGTCGCACTCTCATTCAGCTTTATGTATGTGTGTATGTTTGCCCGTCTGTTTGGTTTGCTTGTGCTTATCTCTCATTCTCTCATCATAATTTGGCTTTGAGTTGTGTGGAGAATAAAAGACGACTGATGTATATACATACATATGTACACTTTTATATACGTACATATTTTCCTTTTGATAATTTATTGTTTTCATTTTGAGAGGGTGGCAAAGTGTGTTCAGCTTTTTTTGTGTGGGGCCAACACACGCTCACACATACATTAATGCAAAGTTTGGTGTTTTACATAAATGCGTTCATACATCTAAATGTATGTATGTACATTTATATGTAAACACAAATAAAACGTATTTTGTTTTTGTTGCCAGGTTTTAGGACTCTGCAATTGCTGTCCAGTGTGTGCATTTGGTTCATACAAACATACATACCCACATATATATATATTTTAACTGCCTGCTTAACTTACATAGTATTTTACTTTATATAACATGAGCATTTTACTATTTGGCAATTAAAACCTCGCTTTTTATATAAATATAAATTTCTATATATATATATATATATATAAATACATTCATAGCTATGTCCAAAAACACATATTACACATGTATACTATGTATTTATTACTAACCCAACTAAAAAGAATCATTTAGTTATTTTCGGAATGTCGAAAATTGAATACCCTTGCAGATAAACAGGAGATTGGCGATCATTTGATTGAGATAACCTAACACTCCAGTCGCCTGTTCGTTTGTTGTTGAGTAAGGTCCACAATAAAATTCAATATTTTAACCGATTGTTCCCATACGATCCGTATGTTATAGTGGTCCGATGTCGATGACACTTTGCTCTTATGCCAGAAGCCGGCAGTAGAGTGTTACTTCACTCACTTCTGTTGCAATTGATCAATAATATAGGATTATAATCCATACTGCAAGGGTATATATGGAAAGTTTCTTAAAAAAGTAAATTAGTCTCAAAAACTATGAATGTAATTGCAAATGTTTCTTTTACTTTTATTTTTTCTTTGTTTTTAGCATACATACAATATTTTATTGCTGGTTTTGGTGGTAAATTTGCATTTGTTAATGGCCGTGGCCAGACGTGCCAGCTTTTTAACACACACAAAAAAAAAAAAAAAAACAACAACAACAACAATGAAAACTGTTCATCAAGTGTTTTTTATCTATTGACTATCCCCACATGTAAAAATAAATACTGAAACTAAACCGAAATGTATGCTAAGTACGATATAGCACATAAGACTGCCATTTTGCCGCGCGTGTATCTGTATCTGTATCTGTATCTGTATCTCACTGACCAACTACCGCAACTGCAACTGTAACTGCAAGCGCAAACTGCACACACCTCAACCTCAGCCTCAAGCTCATGTTAAAATTATAAACATAAACAACAAAAAAATACAAATAGAGCGCTATCTATCGCTCGCTCGCCTCCATAAATGCCAACTTATATATCTATATATATTGTATTATTCCTCGTACCGCCTACCAACTACTACTACCAACAACTACAACAACAAGAACAACAACAACAACCACCACCACCACCATCAACAACCAACAACAACAACAACATTCTACTGCAACTTGGCAAAAGACTCGGCTTTAGATTGTAAGCTTGTTTTTGTAAATTTGATAAACATTTATACTATCTTTAATATGTACTATTCAAAATAAGTCATGCGAAATGAAAGACAAACACACAAAATCTCTCGAAACATTACAAATTAATAGAAATAGTTGTTTTTCTCTTTGACTTCGCATGGCTTAGAGCTTGTAACTTGTAACTTTTTGTATTTGTCCTACGTTCTTTGGTTCCAATACTGCTCTAACCCCATTTATACCATCCAACAACTACATACACACATATTTGTTTTTGCACACACACACACACACATATATATATATATATGTATATACATCTTACAGTACAACTTTGATAGATTGTCAAATGAATTTACTATATACAAATCTGAATTGAAGAGGATATGTTGTCTTTATCGTCAAATAGTTGTAGTTGTAGTGGGAAATGCGCCTTTTTGTAATTGTTTAAGCTTACCTTTAATTGTATCGAAATTTATTTAAGAACTTTTCTGTTTTGGTGATTTCCTGGAATTGCCCATGTATGCCTTGTTGATCTGGATAATTTTATAGAGCCCTGGTCTAGAGTCAAGCAAATATTTTAAGTAGTTTGAAAGAGCAGTTGAGCAGGCGCAAAAGAAACAATAGTATGGAGTGAAACTAAACCTAAAGCAGCATAAGATTTCAATATAAATATATGGGTCAGAGCAGTACAGATAAACTTAAGCTAAGTCGTTTAAAGTAATTTTACATCAAACATTATTTCCCAAGAAAAAGACTGTTTTTTTGTTAAAGCATTGTTATATGAATTTGGAACTAATTCCAAACAGTTTCGTGATAGCTGTAAAGCCATTGTAATAGCTTTCTAAGTATACATAGATATGTTATCAAAGTTGTACTGTCGCCTAGAAACATGTACGTACATATATATAAATACAAGACATATATATATACACGTAAGATAAGTGTTATATTCTCTCAACTCTAAAGCTCTCAATAGTACTAACTACTCCTAAACAATTGATAAGTAATTTTTGTAATAAACCCACCCGACTCCCAGGAAGAAAAGAGAACATTTACTAATAATGTGTTTTGTTTATTATTGTATTATCTCATACCTATATTCATCCATGCTCTCACACAAACACACACACCCATGCATTTTAAATATATAACTTTTAGCTCTGTATGACAAGAATTTTCACCCATTAAATAAAACGCATATATCAGGCATATTGTATACTCTATATATATATATATATATGTATATGTAGTACCCAGAAACTAATCACGCACGTATCCAATCATGAAATTACATTTTATTTATTTTTTCTTCAATTATTGACAAACTATTAAAGCTACACGTTTTAAAACCAAACTCAAATTGTTGCTGTTTTATTTATGATCAAGAAAGTATATATACTCTATCTTCTTTACATATTTACCACTACACACACACACACACACACAGACACAGACACAGACACATACATTTTTATGCTCTTTTTCTCAGTAAGTACTAGTGTTTAGCCCCATGCATAAATGTTTTGTTTATCGTATCGTTTGGGTTTTGTTTATTATTTATTTATCTATAATATTTGAGCATGTTGGCTTTGTTGGTTGTTATTGCTTTGTGTACTGGAGGGCGCGGGCGCGGCTTTAAACTTAACTCAGTTCAAGTTTTTCAAAACGCAAACGTTTTCCGTTTTTCCTTTTGTACAACTTGCAGCTATAAATGAACAAAACAAAGTTTGAATAAACAAATTACTAAAAACAACAACAGCAACTAAGTCTCAAGCAGCAGCAGCAGCAACAGCAGCCGCAACATGCTGAACTCCAATGCGAATCATTCGGGCAACAGCCGGCGGCCATTTTCTCGCAATTCCTCATCTGCGCGCTCCCAGCGCGGCCGCATGGTCTACTCGCCGCATCCACACGGACAGCAGCAACAGCAACAACAACAACAACAGCAACAGCAGCAGCGGAATAACAATAACAACAATGGCCTTGTGCCGGGTCATAGTCCCTGGTGCAATGTCAATCTGAATCGCCACAATAATGACAACAGCAACAACAACAACAACAACAACAATGCCAACAATAACAAAGACGCAATCGATGGCAGAAACTCAAATTGGTAAGAGCTACGCAGCTTATGGTATATGAATATAAATATATATAAAAAAAAAAAAAAACAACAACAATTTAAAAATACCAATAAATTTTGCAAATTACGTTAGCTTTAAGTGACATAAAAGCGAATTTGAAGTACCCTATCCAAGTGCCCTTTATCCCGCCGCTATCCCACACCGTACTATGCCTACGACCTGCCATAAAAATAATAACAACAACAACAACAACAACATCCTTGTTACTCGTTCCCCACGCTCCCCACGACAACTATAGAACAGTTTTCTCTACTCTTCAATCTATATCTATCTCTCTCTCTCTCTCTCTATATATATATATATATCTAACTACTTCTACGTAACTACACCTCAGATATAAAAATCGCTTTTAGGGTAAAGGGAGAATTTTGTAATTAATTGCGTGTTGTCCAATAGAGTAAAAAGTAAACAACAAAATTGATCATCCAAAGCCAAAACATTTCGTTGGCCTCCTTTTACCGTTGAATTTTCGAAGCACTCAACAAACTTGCATTAACAACAATACAGCTGCAGGCTCAGCACATCAAGAGAGTGCAAGCTTTTACAACACAAACCCGCTCTCTATTTCGTGCGCTCTCTCGCTCGCTCTTTTGCTCTCGCTCTCTTTGGCAGCTGTGCAGTACTGCACGTGTTGCACAATGGTTTGCAGCTGCAGCTGTTTTGTTGTTTTCTCAACGTTTATAAATTCGTGTTCATTTGTAATTTTTGTTCTCTTTCGTACTGTACATTTTCTTTATGTTTTGTTCTTGTCAATTGGCACATACTATGTATTAATTCTAACTACTAATTATCGTTGTATCTATTATCTCTCTGCATTTACATTCAATTGAAAAACAATACACAACTTTCGTTTTGATCCAAAAAAAAAAAATAATAAAATGTTAAACAATACATTCTTAATTGTATCGTATGTACATTTTCTAACCGCTTCAATTACAAATATGTATACATACCAGGCGAAATTCCATAGTAGATACATATATATTTACATCTAACAGAACTATTATCAGAAAGTTTTTAATTTTCAACCGTTAATCAAAAAAAAAAACTCAAAAAAACCCAATGAAAAATGCATGAAGAGCACTTAAAAATGGCGAACAAAACTTTATACGTAGCAAATGTCCTAAGTTTTTAAGTAGTTGTTTCTTTGTCCAAAAAAAAAGCTTCTTAATTTCTCGTACTTATTAAATACTTTTAAATACTCTCGTACATATGAAAAGCGCGCTTAACGGTTTATTACCAAGCATGCCATCATCAACAATAAAAAAAGAAAAAAAAAATACAAAAACATTTACTTTAAAAGTTTGGGCCAAAGCAATTTTCTTGGCCAAGAGCCAAATATAAGACTAATATCTGTGTAAATTCGTACTTGTAGTTGGTAAATAATTTACGATTACAATTTGCATATAACTTGTTTGCTTTTATTTAAAAACTAGTTTAATGCTGCGTGTGTATGTCATTTTTAATGTATATTTTTAACGATTTTTGGTATGGATATTAAGAAAACAAAGCAGCTTTTTATATATCTTTAGAGTGATCCTGCAGAGCACCTGCAGAATGTCTGTAAAAACGAGTTTAAATTATAATTTAAAAAAATTCAAAATAATTTTCTTTCCATGGAGCTTTACCGCTAGTATCAAAATATACATACACATTCATCTCTTTAACTATGCATACCGTGTTTATAGCTGTAATATAAAAAATGAATCTTTATGTGAGGTTAGGTACTACAAGTAGTACATGAATTGGACACAGTGCGACTCAGGGAAAACGAGTAGAATTATAAAAAGGAGAAAGCAAAGACTACGTTTTACCTGAAAGTGTTTTTCATGCATATTCAGTCAAGAAAATAAAAACAACAAGAAGCACACCACATTTAGTCGTTCCACTCGCAACGCGAACTAGTTCCAAGTGGAGCTAAATCAGCACAAATGTACTTCTTAACAATAGTATAGCTCATTGGGCTGCTATTTGCTTTCCTATTTTTTTTTTTATTTTTTATTCTTAAACATATTTTGTATAATTATATTTTTTGATTTCATGCGCTTAGTTTCGCTTCACGTTTATGCTAAATGAACTTTACAAAAAAAAAAAAAAAAAAAATTAAACCAAACCTAAATACTTTTGAAAACAAATATTGTGATGTTTGAAATCCATGTGATTATTATAAATGCAACCGTCAAAGTGCAAGCCAAATATACATATATATAAAAATTTAGTTACAAAATTTCCTCTTTATCCAAACCGTACAGTAAATACTTAGTTGTAATATTTTTTCAATTCAACATTTTATGAATGATATTTGCATTTTAGTTGAGTTTATTGATTGTTATTGATAAAATTTTATAGATTGGTGTATTTTGTATAAACGCTTAACTGCATTTTTGGTGCTGGTAAAAATCTAAAATTTGTTTGACAATGTTGAAAAATCATATTCAATGATCAAGAAACTCAGCTTAATGTTTTACTTATTTATTTGCATTATGCACACTGCGGCTTAGAATGTTTAATAAACAGTTTTAATGTACCTAACTAGAAATTCAAAAAAAAAAAATAAAAACAAAACATGTCGAAAAACCAAAGCTACTAAACAACTCTCAAAGTATATAGTAAATGCGTTACTATTTCTCGATATCAATATATTCAATATTTGATTGTGTGTGAGCGCTACATCAAAATCAGAGCAACAACTATAATCTATAACTTTTGTACTTTTCCCACACTGTCTGTTTCAAATAGTTAACTATTTAAGCATATACCATATGATTTCTCCTCTTAAGTTTTTTGGACACGTAAGCGAATGAGTTGCAGTCGCAGCTTTTGCAATTAGTGCGTAAGTGTTAAACGTTAACGTATAATTTTTGGCGCTTTTTCGCTCACGCCCACCCTACTGCTGTCTGTCTGTATGTATGTATGTCTGTGTGTGTGTGTGTGTGTGTGTGTGTAGGTATTATATTGTATACCCCAGCTCGATCTGTCGACCTGTGTCACCCTATGATATTGTCTTAAGCTTTGCATTCGCATGCTGTTGTGCTCACGTTTACATTACGTTAACGATTACGTCGTGCGTTGCGTACCCAAAGCTGATTCTTCAGAGCGCGCCACACCCACATGCTCCCTAAGCTTTTTTTTTTTTGAAAAGAAAGTACTTGTACTTGGATTAACGGTTTACGTTTTTTGCGTTCTCTTTTGTATATTTTTGAGCATGTACAGCACTCTCTCTCTCTCTATCTCTCTTATAAGTTCATATAACTCTCTCTCTGTATCTCTCATGTTTAGCTAGTGAAAGTGTTGCGTTGAAAAGTGTCCTAAAAACTGTGATACTCGCATTTGTTGTTTAATTCCTTCTTTAAAATTTATTATTCATTTCTGTTCGTAAGCGTAGTGTGCATTAAAGCGAAAGCCAAACAAATAAATAAATAAAATAGCAAACTAACAATTTCTATTTAAAATGCATAAGTACAACAAAAACAATAAGAAAAAGAAACAAAAAAAAAAAAAACCAATTGTGCAAAATTAGTACGTATTTGTTCCTACTAAATGCATATTGTATATGTGTGTATATGTAGTTAACTATTGAATAATATTATTAATAACAAATTCTCGCTACATATACACCCATTGCCATAATATTATTATAAACTATATGTGTGTGTATATATTGATATTATATAATTACAAAAATATATATATATATCTATATTAAACTAATAATCTAATTATTGCATTTTGCCATTTACATATATATTATTTTTATCTTTTTCGTTTTTCTTTCTTCTTCATAAAAAAAAAAAAACCGAAAAAACTGCAAAATAATAATAATAAAAAACTATATAAATAACGTATATGTGTGGCTATCACTCTGCATATATACACTACTACTACTACTACCTACTACCTGTACATGTATATGCATACAAAAATAACTATATATGGGTTGTGTTTTAATACTACCACCACACTGCTACTGCATTGATTTGATTGAACAATTTTCAAATGTATCTCGTAAAACCGAATATATATATTATATACGTATATCTTATTATATGTATTACATATTATCTGAAAAAAAAACAAAAAAAAAAACGCAATTGCAAACCTAAATCGAAAATCCAGCGATGTACAAACAAGTAATTCTAGCGGAACTTGTATTTATAACAATAGCAAAACGCATCATCACAACAACAGCCTTAACCTCAATCACAGTCGCAATGCCCCACAAAACAGTCATCAGTCGCAAGCCCAACATAACCACACACAGTATAACAGTAACAGTAACAATAACAGTAACAGTAACGTTAATCATAACAGTTATCATCATTCAATTACCAACACTGCACACAATAACAACAATTGCACTGATAACATTAGCAGCAATAATCTGAATAGCTTACGAACAGCACACAATGAAAACCACAATCCCAATCAGTGCCCAAATCCCAATCAGAGCCCAATTGTGAATCACGGCTATCACAGCTATATTGATATGTGCAACAGTGCGCCGAGTGCGCCGCCCGCTTTTGGTTCAATGTCCGTGTCCGTTGTTAGACTGAATCCAGCACGCTTATGTTTAACTGTTGCCGCCCCGCCCACATCCACGCTAATGCCTATACCAAACCCAAATCAGCAGCGCCGTAGCACGCCCCTTGCTCTGCTATCCCTTCCAGCCAATCACGATAACAATCATGCCCATAATTTCAATCATAATCATCAATATCACAGCACCCATCACAGCTACAACAATAACAACAACAACCAACATCACCAACCACACCAACAACAAGAACAACAACAACAACAACCGACTAATCGCCAATCCCTCCCGCTAACACGTACGAATTCAAATTCAACAACCGCAACAACTTTCAATTCAACCAATACAACAACAAATAGTAACCCTACTGATGTTGTGAATGTCAATTCTTGTACCGATATAATTCCTCATGGGTCGTCTGCGCCACAACAACCACAACAACAACAACAACAACACCAACAACCACAACGACAACCCCAACAAATGTGTTCACAACGACAACAACGTCAACGACGATCTCAAACCCAACAACAACAACAACTGTCGCCGTCGCCTCTTATGATAAACCACAACCAATTGACTGATTCTCATATTAACCACGCACCTATCAATAGCCATAGCCAAGGACCTTCCGGCCCACAGGCAGGACCAACGGGCCATGGGCATCACAGCCAACGCAACTACAACAATCGCAACGGCAACAACAACAATATTATCATCAACAGCAACAGCAACAACAATGCGAACGGCTTAAGCAATGGCAACAATCCCGACTATATGAATTATCGTCGAGCTTGCCCCGCTTTGTCCCGCGACTATCAGCAACATCACAACAACAACAACAATGGTAACAACAACAATCCGGGCAATGGCCACAACAACAACAACAACAACAACAATCGTCGTCACAATGGAAACTACGATAGAAATCCAAACAACAATGTGAGTTAGCAAGTCAGTTCATAAAAGTATTTATTAACTAAAAAATAAAACCTTTGCGAAGGTTATCATAACTAGAAGATGCCCTGTTGCTCTTGTCTCTCTGTGAGAAATTGTTTCTTTAAATAACTTTTTCGTTTGTTGTGCACATTCAAAAAATAAGGATAGATAAGAATGTATTCCGATACAATTTAGTTGGTCTTAAGCTGTTTAATAATTTCTAGTCTGCAGATGCTTTTAATCAAGCAGAAGCTATATCTCTTAAGCATATTTATAGGGTATTTTTACCACACTATTTATAGGGTATTTTCTCCTCATCTACAGATTTAATTATATTTTCGAATTCTTGCAGCACTTTGGCAATGGCAGCTCGGAACAGGGTCTGGATCATAGATCCGATGGTGGCTACAGCTTTATGCGCAGCGGCTATGGCCGGAATGGTCCACACTATCAGCACATGGGCAATGGTTATGGCAATAACAATGGTGCCTCCACATCCGCCGCTGGTCCAGGTTTAATGGGCGATGTGCCCTCCGGTTCTGGTTTGTCCGGCTCCACACTTTCGCTTAACAATGGGCTCGGACCTGGTCCCAACGGCCTGAACTCGGACAGTCCATCGCGCAAGCGTCGCCGAATTTCGGGACGACCAAGTCAATCGCCGCCAGCCATTTGGGAACCGCGACGCTCACAACGTGTCATGGTAAAACTCCGAGCATTGGGCTCAATGTCAGGTCAGAGCTCTAATGTATTTTTATTTTTCGCAGATGCAACAAGGCAGTCCACCGCTGCGTCGGCCACGCCTGCGTGATGTGGCCACCTCCACCCAGCAGCAGCAGCAACAGCAGCAGCACCAGCAGCAATACGCACCACAGTTGCACCACTCGCAGCAACAACAGCAGCAGGCGCCACCCAACTACCATCCAATGCATCATCATCAGCCACAGCCGCACTATGCGCCGCAGCAGCAACAGCAGGCGCCACATCCGCATCCACACCCGCATACGCACACGCATCGCTCACCCTGGGATCTGGCCGGCAATGTGCCGTCGGTGGGAAATGCCGGCGGCAATGTCGTTGGCGGGCCGCCCCCGAACAGCTCCGTTGGCGCGATATTGCAGCAGGTACCGGCACCGCCGCAGGCTCCCACTCATCAGCAGCAAGTGAACGCTGGGCCGCCACCACCGCCACCCGCCTCGGTAATGGTTGACCTCAATTTGGCGTTGCGCCATGAGCCCATCTGGGCCTCCTTTTGCACGTATCCGCTGCCAGCGCAGGCGCGTCTGGCGCCCTGCCATCTGCACGGCATCTATACGCAGCCCTTCTCGGCGGCGCCCGCCGGCCTGGCGGCCGCCCCACTACAGGTGGCCCAGGTGCCAACGCCCACACAGGTGGCGGCTGCTGCGGCCGCGGCACAGCACATGATACAGCAGGCAACGATTACGGCACAGCAGCAGCAACGAGATGTAACCGCGATTGCGGTGGCCAATTTAACATTAACTGAGCCGCCCAGTGCACATCATTTGGACGGGCATCAGGCAGCCGCTGCAGCGGCGGCTGCAGCAGCCGCAGCAGCTGCTGCATCCGTTCCAGTCGGCGGACAAGCGCCGCATCCACATCCACATGCACATCAGTTGCCGGCAAGTCACATCCACATCGCTTCGATGAACGCCGCCGCTGCGGCTGCCGCACAGCATCTACATTCCAATGCCGCGGCGGCGGCAGCTGCTGCCCATGTTACCCAGATGTCGGCGGCGGCAGCACCGCAGCAGATAATCATATCGTCGGAGCGACGCACATTCCCGCCACATAGGCGTTTACCGCGCTTCTGGCCGGCAAATCATGGTCCTCATCGGCATGTCCTGCCGCCGCAATCGTTGGGACCTCATCAGGCGCCCGTGCAGATCCAAACCACCGCTGGCATTATCAATCCAGGCTTCTTGCTCAATTTCCTGTATGTCCTTATTAGCATTAATTTATTCATATCCTTAATCATCTTGCCTGTTTGCAGTGCCATGTTCCCGCTGTCTCCCTATAACCAGCACGATCTGAGCTCCGCGGACACCAACGAGACGGAGAACTATGAGGCGCTGCTCAGTCTGGCGGAGCGTCTGGGCGAGGCCAAGCCGCGCGGTCTCACACGCAACGAAGTTGATCAGCTGCCCAGCTACAAGTACAATCCGGAAGCACATAATGGTAAGACTTATTCATTTCTTTTATGTCTTGTCTCACATAAACCTCTTTTTCCTATGAACCCTCAATAGGCGATCAATCCTCCTGCGTGGTCTGCATGTGCGACTTTGAACTGCGGCAGCTACTGCGCGTTTTGCCCTGCTCCCACGAGTTCCATGCCAAGTGTGTGGATAAATGGCTGCGCGTAAGTTGAATCAGTAATTTTCATCATTTCAAAAATGTTCTGGTTAGAACTGCAGTGCTGCCACCTGGCACTGTATTCCAAGCTGGCAACACTGTGCAATATGTGTGAACGGACGATAGCCAGTTGGCGAATTGTACTTATCGATATGTCCTGCCCACCAGTGCTGCCAGCTCTACTGACTGCGGAAAACAAACATTATTAATACCGGCAGCACTTATCAATAATATAAAGTTTGTCATCACTATCGACGCACTATTTTAAAATGAAAATTTAATAACTTTATATTTTTTGTTTACTGCTTACAAATAATACAAATTTAGATGTAGATGGAAACGCATTCTGAACTGTGTACACTGTACAATATCAATCAGAAATTTATCAGCACTGTCAAGCAATTGCGGCTACTAACTTGATTTTTTACTTTTGCAGTCGAATCGCACGTGCCCCATTTGTCGCGGCAATGCCTCCGATTACTTTGACAGTGCCGATCATCAGCAGCAGCAGCAGCAGCAGCAGGCGCAGGCAGCAGCTGCCACTGCGGGCACAACCACAATAGCTGGCAACGCTGCCACGGTTGCCGGGAATCCGGCAGTGACCGTTGCAGCAACCGGCGCCAACTCGCAGCAGAGTCAGGCCGCTTAGGGCGATGCTTGCAACAAAGACAACACAACCATAACCAAACGCTTTCGCCACGTCGTCCAGGTGCAGCAAGTAATGGAGCACACACGCAAACAAAAACAAAAACAACAACAAAACACTCACAGATAGCCTATTTAAATAATTGATATAACGCGCAACGAATCCAACTGCCAAAACGCTTCCCTTTAAACCAGAACACTTCAATAGCTTGTCGTAGAACTCTACTTAGGCGGTAGTTGTATGTAAGTAACGGTTAATGGTAAATGGTTTAAAAAGTACAGTAATTTGTAACAAGAATGTAATTATAATCAAATATGCATACCACCAAGATTTCATACATACATAAGGAATACACAACACAATTATCGATAAATACAATCGATAGTTTTGTTAAATGTGTTGAGAAAACTGAGAAACAAAAAATTCAATTCAAAATTTACTGTTTTTTATGTAGTACAGTGCAAGTTGAAACAAAAACAAAATTAAAAAACTATGTCAATAATGTAATTCGGCTGCCGCCTGTGCTTATATTTTCCTTATGCATTACATTGCAACAGCTCCATTAAAAACGAGTGCATACTATACATATACATATATACAAAACATACATTATCTATACTAAATGGCGTATTTTAAAATGTTGCTGTCCACATACATGCATACACACATATATATATATTATATTAATTAACACTATATCTGCAAATTACAAAAAAAAAGTGAAGAAAATTAAAAAAAAAATTATATTTGTACTTGTTTGTGCTTTATGTTTTCTTATATACATACATGCATACATAATACTTGCATTGCATTTTAATTTTATACTTACAACAAAACAAAAACAAATATATATATCCAATTCGTATTTGTTGATTTTGAAAGTGCATGGCGGCCATGTTGTTTGCACTCGAGATAGAACTACATGGAGGCCTTCGGCTGTCAGATTCAACACGTACCCATTGGAAAGTCCTGTATATTGTACGAACTGAACCCACTGAAGAAGTTCTTCTTCTTTTTGCACTAAGCAAAGAAAAGTACACAAAAAAAAAAAAAAAAAAAAACAACTTTATAAAAACTCTTACTATTTTTGCGTTGCAACTGTTTAAACATTTTTATTTTATTACTAGTATTAATAACTATATAAACAAAGCAACTAACTCTGAAACATATAAGCAATCTTTGAAATCGACTAAAATTAAACTAAAAAAATATGAACGTAACGTTTAACAAAACATTTATATATGCATATATACAAAATGAGCAGACATACAATTATAATAACAATAACAATAATAATAATAATAATATGAATATAGCCTCGTAATACATATACATGCATATAAATACATACATATATTGGTGGGCTTATTTAACTGTATTGTCGTAGACGTGAGCAATTCGCTAAATTTATACATACATACATACATACGTACGTACATCCGCATACATATATAGACGCAACTTTTGAGTGGGGAGCTCCGGCAGCTCCACAGCTCCACAGTTCCGTAGTTTTGCCTTTTTCGAAAAAAAATAAAAAAATAAACAAATAATAATTAATAATAATCGTGTTTAACCAGGCTCTATGTTATATGGTATACATATATGTATGTACATCATAACCGACACCAAAAACCTCCTTGAATTTGAATCAATGTGACTTGTCTATTAAAAGTAGCACGCTGGCCGAGCATCAGATGCATATATGTAGTTATATATATATATACATATATAGCTCTATCTATATAGAGTTTTCTTCTATTATAATGGTATAACTTAATTATATGTATATGCATAATGTGTACGATATTTACATGCACTTGACTAGCCTGTAAATCCTTGCGGTTTTTAACAATATACATACATATATTAAATAACAATAACAATGATTAACATTGACAAGTAATATGTTTATATACACTTAAAAATACAGAATACAGAATTACCAAGTAAATTGAAATGATTCCTGCCCTCCATTCGTATCAAACCATTGAAACTAACTCAAAGCGTTTTTTATATAAAACACATGTATGGCATTGATTTTTTTTTGTGACAAATGCCTATATGGAGCATACAAACATATATATATATATATAAAAGGAAAATAGATTAGCATTTTCAGACAGTACTAAATAACAAATAGCAGATGATTTGCTTATAGCGAAAGCTCTTTTTCTTAAATCTCTATGCTATATGCTGCTATAAATATGATTCTACAATTTCCGGTACCCACCCAGAAAATCAAAGTATTTCGCATTACTATTGGGTCCGTTTGCCAAGTATTGACAAGAAGAAGAAGGAGAAGAATAACGACAACGATAAGCACTTTTCAGATTGCCTCCTACCCCTCTCCCCATCCCCTTGAAAAACAATATAATGTTTTCAATTCTTATTAAAAGCTATGCATAAAAGTGAAGAAATAAGGAAACAATTCTTGATACATAGTATATATTAACACACACACACACACACACACACATATATATATATATATACACATGTATATATATATATATATATATATATATATATATGTATGTGAAATGTGTGTGTATTTATTTTAAATCTACTTAAATGTAAATGGTATTTTCAAAAGACCATTATAAAGGTGTTGTGCTTTTCTAGAATTTTATTAGTAGAAGAAAAATGTTTATTTTTTGTCACAATAACAAAACCATATAAATTAAAACCGAATAAAAAAACGTTATAATGAAAAAAAAAAAAGATAAAAACAAATATATATATATATATATATATATATATATATACATGAATATGAATTGAATACCTTTTATACGTGCACTGACATACTTACCTACGAGTATATGAATAAACTCTCAATCAACCGAACTAAGAAGCAAACAGTTTAAATGAACATTTTTTAAGCTTATTTCCCTATTGCAATTTTATAATTTCCAATTTCTCTTTTATTGAATTTCTTACCATCTTTCTGTGGTATCTATGGTATCTACAATAATAACAGCACTTTCTCAACTTTATTTTTTTATTAGTTTAAAAACACCAAAAAAAAAAAAAATAAAAAAATCAAAAGCTTCTCGTAAATTATATGAAAAGAAAATAAAACAAAATTATAATATAAAGTTTTGCTGTGATTCGTGATGTAGATGTACGTTATATATATTTAATTACATAAAATGCAATAAAAATGCAAGCATATAAAAGCATAATTATTCGAAATTATTACGTCGAAAACCGATTAAAAAAGAAATAATAATAATAAAAAAAAAACAAATAAAAATAATAAAAACATTTTATGCATGAGAACTTCTCCAAACAATATGTACGTCATAATCTAACATCACTTGTCTAGAATTGTCTAGAATTATGCAATTTTAAATGTGACTATTATTTTACATTTTTGTAGACAAGAACCGAGACACTCTTAAAGTAATTGTAAAAATCAGTTAACCATAGTATTAAACAAACCTTTTTCAATGGCATTGTAATGGTGAGCGGGCGTTTTTAATGTTAATTGCAATAATTTCAGTTTTGTTTTTGTATTAACTCGCAAAATTTCAATAAAATTCAATGAACGTAAAAAATAAATGAAATCTACCTGATTTTACTAAAGTCTACTTTAATTTTAATTTCGTTTCATTGAAAACTAAAGTAGTTGAACTTGTGAACAGTTGTAAAAAGTGTGGCCAGATGAACTAAGCGATAATCCGTTAGTTCTGTAAAAGTGGTCACCCAGCTTCTGACAATTATGTTTGCAGAGTTTATAAGGCAATTGCGAATACATTTTTTGCCTAAATTATGTAAATGTAAAGGTCAATAAAGAATACATTTTTGAGTTTGAGAACAAATATTTGGTAGAGCTCTTTAGGCGTTATCGACAATAACTTTTCCATTAAAATCGAAAACAGCTGCTGATTACATGCATGTTAACATTTAACAGAGACTGTAAACGATGTTAAGACGATATAGTTTTTCTTATCGATTGTGCTCTCAATCGAAAACAGCTGACGTTTACAGTTGATTAACAGCGGCGGCGGCGTGTGAATGCAAGGCGGATGAATTATTTTTAATTATAAACACGGTCACATAAATAATTGAAAAAAAAAAAAAGAAAATGCATTTGTGCAAGCAAAGAGCAAAGCGAAAATATGGCCTGTAAATTATATCATAAATGTGAAAGTGTTCGCCAAGCGTCTGCGGCAAACGCAAAGTGAAAAAAGGAGTGCGAGTGGAAGAAAAATCAATTGAAAAGGAAAAATTGCATTTCGCTGCCCCAGCCCCCGAATACGAATCAAATAAAAGTGTAGTTGTAGTAGTGAAAATATATTAAGTTGTTGTACGTGTTTGTGCGCTGAGAGTCAGTCGGGTGCATGTGCTAAGAAAAGAAGAAGAAAAGCAGCTGCAGAAATAGCAAAAGGAGACAGCGACGACAGCGGCCAAGTGTAATAAAGCGTTGGAAAAATGAGTTCAAGTTGTGAAAGGTGTGTGCCGTTACACTATATCCAGCACTGAAAAAAAAGAACAACAACAGCTACAACGAAACGAAGTGTTGAAATGAGTATACAAATTTGCTAGCAACAACAACAACAAAAACAACAGAGTATATTGTTGAATGTTTTGTTTAAAAAGTTGCCTTATAACAAAGCATACGACTGTTTTGTGCGTGTGTTGAGAAGTGCGAAAATATATACGCAATGCAACTCAAATGATTGTACAGCAGGAGCTCCTTCCCCTTAAGGCTAGCCCAACGATGGCAACGCCAACCGCAGCCTGTCTCTGTGTGCGTGTGTGCGTGCGTGCGTGAATGTGTGCGTGTGGATTGCATTGCTCCTTTGTCGCCCTGCCCCGAACTCCACCGCAGCCACTTAGCCATTTTCCCCCTCGCTTAATTAAATGCTAGTTGCTTCAAAATTTATGCATTTTGGCCTGCAAAATCGATTTCTTGCAAGGCGCGGCAACAAGCGTCGTTTTGTTTGGCATCCGCGGCCGTTCAAGTACATATACATATACGAGAGAGCGAGAGAGAGAGAGAGAGAGCGCCCGCTCTCTGTATATGTATATTTGTCGTGCCTACATGTGTGTGTAAGGACGGTGCGGCGTTCCTAGCTGCAGCTTCGAATAAGGAAAAACCGGAAAATGTTTGACAAAATATATTTGTATGCTTGTGTATAGAGAAAAGCCCAAAACAAGGCATTCATGGGGGAAAACCAACAACGGACACACACACACACGCACACAAAATAGGGCGACGACTCACGCACAGGGCAATTTGGGTGGTACTTTTTTTGTGGGTGGTATTTTTATTTTTGGGTAATTTTTCTGGCTTGTGCCTTTTTTGCAACACATCTTTTGCGTGTTTGCATTCATGAATGAATGAATGATATATTGAATGAAATTTGTCTGCGTGTGCACTCAGATCTCTAAATTTTGTTGTTGTTGTTGTTGTTTCAGCTTCCACAGTGCGTTGTGTGCTGCATTCCAGAGATGCTTTTTGCCTTTAAAATAGCAACACACTCGCATCTCGCCTTTTGAATATCTTTATTTATGTTACGTTTTCTAACACACTCTCACGCTCTCTTTCTGGCTTACAGAATAGAATGGGTAGAAATTATCGAACCACGCACCAAGGAGCACATGTACGCCAATTTAACAACTGGCGAGTGCGTCTGGGATCCACCCGAGGTAAGTTTCTCAAAACGTTTACGATCTACGTGTAAATAATGAAATTAATTATTTTATTTACACATAGTACATACAGTACGCTTCATTAACACTCTCATGCCAATTGCCATATTGGGATTAATGAACTCATTTGTTTTTATCAGGCTTATATTATATACCCTTAGCTTGGATATTATAATTAAAGCAATAATACTCCGGGGCAATCATACAATATCGTATTGAAATTCGAGTAGTTTAAATCTTCAAAAAAGTTATTCTATTTTAAATACAAGCGTTTCTGCAGTTTTTAAAGAAAAATTATGTGTGTTTGTTTGAGCTTTCTGTAAGGAAAACTTATAACCAGCGAACAGTGCTAATGTGGGTGCATTTACTATGTAGTAAGGGCATAGAATGTTCGGTATGCTGCACATAACTTTTGCCTTTTTGTTCGGCTTTTGCTTAATTGACATGGGTCACTTGTTTTGCAAATGTTACAGCAAAACCTACAAATATGCACACATATACATATGTTAATGGAAAATTATTTGACCCAGTTCGTCAATGGCGTAAAC